TATGAGTATGCAGAAGTACCTTGGCGCCCAAGTATGGTTACCAACTTTATCAGGCATTATCAAAGACCTACACAGGTACAAGATTTGACAACGGGCCAAAAAAAAAAGGGATTTTCAAATGGAAATTTCGAAGTTTTTTATTGTTTTTTACCATCTTTAAATGGGCAATCATTAATGTTTGCTGTACGTTCAGATCAAAGGTTTATCTTCATCGAAATGTTTATACCAAAAGTCTAGGTATATATGACTGACGTGTCGCCATTTAAGGGTTGGTATAAGCGGTGATGCACAGAAATTCCACACGAAATTTGTTCCGAATTATGGCACACACACAATTGTAAAAGTGGGTCAAATAATAATCAAATCAGACTAGTAACTACAGTTAAGCGTCAAGGTGTGATTAAAACCTACCCTACATAATGATTTTTTTTTTTAAATAAGCTTCATTTTTGTTTTTCTACTCGGTGCAATTGAAAATCCATCTATTCTTCTCAGCTCACTTCATATATCTAGTAATATTATAATGTGCATATACGTGGTCATGCTTGAAGCAAATTTATCTAATTTTTATCGTGAACTAAGAATGTTCGGGGCAATCAATTCGCAGCTTCTTCGTATAATTTTTTATTTAGCTAAGTTACGTGTGGAATGGGCCTACGCGTTGTAACCGTGATAAAAGCAATAGCAAAAACAATGTGTCGTAAGTTACTTTTTATTTTGTTGCAGTATCGAGCAGGACGCTCAGGCAGGCCATGTCGAAATATGGACAACGATCGCCAACTCGTACATCCAGCCTGTCCTATCGGCGTTCGGTATCGTCGGTAACGTGTTCATGCTCCTCACCATCCATTACGGGCATTTGAGTGACTCACCTTACGTATACCTTAAGTGCATCGCCCTCGGTGATCTGATCCTCCTAATCGTCATCTGTGGCCTGTCCTTTGCCCGGTGCGCCACATGTCAATTCAGCCTTGAAACAGCCTACTACCTTAAGCTATATGACAGGTCGGTTGGCATGAACTGACTTAATAGCGAAAGCAAGCGTACCTTAATACAAAAATACAACCATTATATGCAGGCAGACCCACGTTCACACAGATGGTGCGGCGAACGCTAAGAGCAAGCTTCCGTTCAATTATTAACAGGATAAAAGGAATTATCTCGAAAAGTTTAGCTAGAAAGTAAGGGGTTAGCAAGTCCGAGCCATCAAATATGCGAATTAAACCGCCTAAGAATAGTTGGACCTTATCTATATTCTACATGATTAATTTAATATTTACAGCTTACAAACATAAAAAACATTATCAATACGATGATAGTGCTGAGTCGTATCTTATCGGTAGTAACAAAGACTTGCACTATTATCCGTTTACCATAAGTCATTTTAGGCGAATTTTAGCGCCATTTCATCGTCATAGTATCTCTGAGTGTCTGAGGCGAACCATTATCGGATGAGCGACGCTGAGCGGTATGCCTAATATCGAAGAAAATTGACAGGGATGTTTCATTCGATTTAGTCAATCAGCAAATTCGTACTTTTATTATAAGATAGTGTAACACTGATGGCCGATCTCGTATCTGTAGGTATGTCTACCTGGTATTGAGCAACCTGATGATCGGATGGCTCGTGCTCCTCACCCTTGTTATGACAATCGAAAGGTAAATCGATTAACTTCTAAGTACTATAACTTAGTAACGTATAACTAACCTTTCTTAGCTTAAGGTCTATCTGTTTATGTTTCAACTGCGATAGGATAGCCGTTGCATCAAACTGAGCCTGCTCCACCGCGACGGGCCTTTTTTCGTTCGTGGCAGGGAAACTGCTCGGCAAACTTCGACAATACGCAAACTTCGACAATATACGAACACGTTGAAAAGACGTGACACGGCCACAAATTGTTTTCACTATACAACATGTTAAATAAATAGTACCTTTTTCTCGCTTTTGTTTTTTCCATAAATTTATATTGCCTCACATGACATAACGAAATATTGTAAATGTAGAACATTAGTATAAGCAGGCTATCTACAAGCTGATATAGCTTACAAATAGTTCCATGATAACCTAGTGAATAACCTTCTAGTCTAGGTTGGAAGACAAGCATAGACGTAAAATTTGTTCCCTGTTGGGAAGCTGTTAGCCATCTCTCTGATGGAACGCCCGTACGTAAAACTCAAAACACAGACGTCCCCTTATCCACATTATAGTGCTCCAGCGTTGACTGTCTTTATTTTCGTTGTTATGGAGCCATCAGTTTCATCCGCATTCTACGATAAATGGGTTCTGTTCTCATCGAATTGAGATTGAGTTTGATTTTACGGGATTCTACTTTACCGTCGCCGTGGTTAGAGGATTAGACGTACTAGCTATCTTTACAATTTAGGAGTTGCATCGCGTCGCTGGACGTTGTAACTTTTACCCGTTAGTGTTATTAGTACTACGTTCAACAATAACATCGTTCAGAGTTGCAGCAGAAATGGAATCCGATTGGATCAGCTGAGTGTTTCGAACTATTACATTGTTTTCGAAATCGATATCTGGACCTGTAACATATAACAGATATGGAATGATAATGAATATTTCGTTTTAGTTCTTAATAAGAACCAGATATATGAAGCACATTAGGCGTAAAGCAATAATAGTACGTTAGGAAATTTATCAGACCGCATCAATTTGTATATCTAAAGCGGGCGGTCCTATAATTCGGAGGGTACTCCAGGCTACGCTATCTGGCTGATCATTGATTGTTTTCAATTACTGTTCAATAAAATATCTCGAATGATCATTGTGAATCTAACAACAAGTTCGTGATTCATTTTCTGATTGACCTTAAACTAACTTACCATCAGACAGAATTATTCCACGAGTAGTCGTTCAGGCTCAAGCGGTACGCTCGAACTGGATTTGTAGATCGATTTGTTTTAGTTGATCATTTTCACACAGGTTCGTCTACGTTCGATGGCCTATAAAAACCCAGAGTTGGTGTACGCGGGAACGTGCCAAAAGGGCTTGCGTAATCTTGTTCCTAATTGCGTGCAGCTCACAGCCGCTCCGGATGTTTGAACATAAGGTTTCAATCAGCGAACAGAAGATGCCACCAATAGGCACCTCATTAAGACATACACCAGATTTCAACTGTTCGTTTCCGGACGGAAAGGTAAGATTATCAGGCCAATGAGAGCAACATGTTGAGCGAAGATAGTAACAAATTACTAAATTTAAGTATCATACAAGTATAAGTATCATAAATAGCTTTTTTTTTCTATCCAGACAAATCATTTAGTACATGTCGCATGGGTGACGATAAGACTTATTTTTTTCCCAGTTGACACTGTAAACGTGCTTCAGCTCTGTAAAACTGCAGCACTGCGGCCATTCAAACAACGATCTTTTAAGCACTTCGTTTATATGTTCATGTGTTTTTAATCTCGATCAATATGCTGTTTTGCTTTTTTGCAGAGCAATCTTCGCTGTTATAATGACGATTTCCCTTTGGCGACCCAACAAGACTCGACGGACCCTTGCCCTTGGCAGCCAAGAGGCATTGACAAACTTGATGGGAGCGGTTTTGCCAAAGTGCCGCAATCAGCAGATGGTCTTCATTCTGTTCACTGTTTACACACGTTCTGTCGTTTGCCCCTTATACCTCGCAACGCACCTTGGACGCCCGATTCAGATGTTGAAAGAATGAAAGTGATCAAATATGAAGACAATAACAATATAACAGCCGTAGCATTAGTAAGTTTATTTTTACTGTCTAGTATAGTTTGTTTGTAGTTCAAACGTAAGACGAATCGTGTGAGGGTGTAGTCTTAGGTCTATTGCCTTCACCCACTGAGCCTAGTATACGCAGTGCATAGGTTAATGAGAAGGTGGAGCATCAGAGTATAGAACAGCGGCTGCGGTTCGCCTACAGTATGATCTCATCGAATAATACTTTGTCACAACTTGGCGTAGTCTTTCTAGTGCTGTCTGTAGAGCTGCTACTTCTATTGAAAGGTAGTTCATTGCCTCTGCTGCGACAGTTTTTTTTTTTGAGACGATTTATTATAATCACTCGCGATCAGCCATGAAAACCTTATTACCTCGCAAACACATCGCTTCATCGTGATAGGCGCTGGTTCGACCTGTCTACGCCGTAACAGTTTTCATTCAAATTAATTTTTCAACACTTTTTGTTTCTGCTAGATGCACCATTTGTTATGAGAGATAAAGCATTGCCGGGCTGTGGCTTCTAAATAGACCACGCACTGATTGTTGCCGAAGCCAAAATATGCCGACGACGACGACCAGATTTAAGCAAATTAGAACTAAGTAACAGATATGCCTGATTGATTCAGCGGAGCCGCGAAGAAACGGAACCACGCGATAGGCCATAAGCCTAACTGTTATTTAGCAGAAAAGAGAATTGTTTCAAGTCACAGCCCTCACCATTGCATACAAGGTAAATACCTGTGCATATATAGCATTCTATTTCATTTCTACATCAGTGTCATAGTAGTGCAGTGGCAACGTGTTGTCCTACTGAACTTACAAACTTACTAGATGGTCTAAGTTTAGAGCCGAGCAATGCTTAGAGGCAGGAACACCAGTCGTAGAGGTCGATCATTCATTGGGTCTCTGCTGTACAGATGGGCCAAGTCATTCAGGCTAGTAGTAGTAGGCGTAGCAACTAATACATCATATGGAAGAGATTAGTCGAACGCTTTAATATTATATCGATAACAAAAACGTCAGGCAAGGCTCATGCGTAGAATATCGTTCACATGCTTGCTTAGAGATATGTGATGCAAGGTGGATATGTCTGTGTGTGTAGCCGTCCTGTTTGAAGACCTATGGCTACCCAGGTTTCATGTAGAACTCTTAGTCTGTGAGTGAAATAACTCCTAGCGTTGCACTATATGCAGACTAGTGTAAACCTACATGTCTGGTATATCCTTGATACGTTTCGGTGTTCGTTGTTCTTTTCCACACCGGAACAACGAAGGTCTTGCTTAATGGAACGATTACTGATCGGCTCCGTAATCAATGCAAACAGTACGCTACAATGATGAGGCTACCATCCATGATACATTAAATCTAAACCACATGCTGTATGGGAACGAACGCTTGTTGCAGGACGTTACGACATACGAACTTTATCGGGCACGTAATATGATGATGAAAAGGTATCTTTATTGATTTTATTTACACGAGATATGCATGCGTGACAGAGCTCGTCAGACCAGAGACTCCCGAGCTGCTTCCGGATGCTGTACCATAATGCACTGAATCATCGCCACGTGTGTATACTATTGTCCCATTGAACCCAGGCACGCAGGTCGCATCGATATAGCTTGTTTCTCATTTGCGCAACCTGTTAACACTTAAACCAAAATAATAAATAATATTGCTTTAAAAGGCGAAGGCATTTCAGTTTGAAGGTTATGCAATGAATAAAGGAAAAAAACTCACAAAATCGTCTGGGCGCGCCCAGCACATCGGACACATGATTAATCGAAATCGGGTCAATATGTGTCACTTATGAACATGAATTTATTTGTTTTTTTTTCCGCTACTCCGAAAACGAAGTGAGGTGCGCTCGAATTTGTTTATGCGTTGATTCCAATGGACATACGCATATCGTTTTGTGAACTCGTCTGAATCTATTACAGGGCGTGGGCGATGAGTTTCCAGGGACCCAGTCGGGTGATCTGGTGGGTACAGCATATGTGCTTAATGACACATGTAAGTGGATTTCCAGTTCTTTCTTTTTCTGATTGATTTATCAGTTAATGAGTTTTCGTTCTAGTTTGCCAACGAACACCAATAAAATGTATGAGAGTCCCGGATACAGGCTTGCATTGACATTCATTAAATTAAATAAGCTGCTGTCTCCTTGCTTGACAGCTTTGTGTGATTATGAAGAACCTTTAAAATGAGGTAATTATATTAAATATGTTCATAGTATATGTTTGAATGTAAATGCAAGCCGTTGCCTTTTTCACAGGCTGGTTCCTGATTTCGCCGGCATGGAACAATCGTACCCCTGACTCGCTGTACGAGGCTTTCCTGGCACCAATTCTGACTTCCGTTAAATGCGTCCAATCTCAGACTGGACTTGATCTCACATGGAAAGGAAAATGGCGTCGTGCGTGGCTTCTAATGTGGGACCGTTTCAACATTGTCTGTACCGGCATCCTTATCACATTCAATGTCATGATTGTCTTTCTCGTAAGTAATACGTAACGAACTTAACTGAATTATACACCGAGTCAAAGGTGCTACCTTGCTCGCATCTTCTACGAAGACAGTTGTTTATTGATAGTATATAATATTATATGTTCGTAACACATTGCTCCGTGTTTGAAAAATAACAGTTTCTTTACGTTTACGGCAACAAATTTCCCTTGCTTCTCACATTTTCGGTATGACTAGTAGATAACAAAATACTCCTGAGCCTGTTCCTAGGATGTAGCAGACAAAAGCGCAGGAATTCGGGTACACTTAATAACTACTTAAACTACGATATATAAATAATTACAAAAAACACTGTGAATCCAATGAAAATTCAATTAGAAAAAAAAAACGTTTAAATGCTTGATTACAAAATGTTCAGTTTAAGAGTGTCAGACGAAACAAGATTTGTCATTGTTGCCAAATGCAATACCAAGTATGGCACCCGTATGTTTATAATTTCTGATAATGACGACGATAGTACTCTACAGTTTTGGATCATGGGCCAACCACGAACGACCCATTTTCGCGACATGGCTTTGTCAGTAGCGGGCTTCCTCACCATTGTGATTCGCGTAGCTTACCCTTTGTGGGAGACTTCCCACTAAATGGCAGGCGCCAACCGTAGGCTACGAGGTAAGCTGACATTAACATTATCAGTTGTGAGCTAACTCTTGTCTGAGGCCTACAAGGAAAGATGATCATTTGACAAATTAGAGATCATTCGCGGTTTAACATGGAAACGCTGATAGTGAATCGATTGTATGGAATAGATGTTGGATTTACGGCGTTGTTCTATTTGAGGAGCGGTTACCTAGGCGTCTTCCTGGGAATCCAATACAATTCTCTATTTGGCAGAAAACTTAGCCTGGTTTTTCTCATTGTTTTTTTTTTTTGTTTGAATCTCTATGTCGAAGTTTTTCTATGATAATAAACATAATTAGGATCAATATGGTTGTTAGTTTTGCAACAACATCGTGTCCCGTATGGTAATTAACGTGGGATATTAATATTCCATGATAAGAACTCAATGGTTCACAATTTTGGTAGGCGTATTTAATAGCAATAATTATCATTGTTTTACTATTAATTGAATTTTAGAAGATTCTGTTGATATTACAGCAGTAAAGACTGTCTAGCTTCAACGACGATGAACGGAACAAGCGAATTCTAACAACACCACGTACAAATCATAATTCGTCTGCAAAAACGTACAATCGTAATAGTGGTAACACACTATAAAGTATCTGAGGGCGGTGTTTATGTTAACTAAACAAATAGCGAAATACAGAGAGAAGAGAGAGAGAGAAAGAAGAGAGTGGGAGGGAGGAGCAAATACGGAAACGACAAATTGTAACCGCTAAATGTTCGTATGGAAGGAGGCCGACCGGTCTCATACATTACGAACAATTAACAGCAGTTTGGGAGTAAGGAGAAGTAAATATCTACGACGTAGAAATGCCACCATAGAGAAGTATGCACTGCGAGTTGAATATCATACATTTGGCTGGCTATGAATGATAGCTAGAGGACAGTGTGTCGTGCAAACTGGCCCGACCCAGCGACTTGCCCCGATGAGAATGTCTGCAATATTAAAGGTGGTGTTGTTTCAATATTCGGCGAAGGCTTTGTGTTGCATCGGCAGGACCACTGGTATACGTCGGATCCCCATAGTTTGGCCGGCCACCTTCTCGGAAAAGGAAGACCTGTGTCTGTTTAGGTATGGGACGCTTGATTTACTTAAGCCAAATTAGTAGATAGGGTAGGATTCCTGCTAGCGCACCAGACTCACGGGCGACTCTGTTATCGTGCAGGTTTCTGTCTAGGCTGTGCTTATGAATACGTAATCGACAGCAGAACGCATATACATATATTTTGCTGGTGACGGCAGTAATAATACTCAAGTGTATTTAGAAAAATTACCTGCTGTTAACGATAATGAACGGGTTCCATCTAACTAAATTTAGTAATTACGCCCAAGACCGTCGGAAATGCTCGGAACCTCAGCTAACTGATTCATCCCGTTGAAACATAACAAAAGTAAACGCAGTTTGTTCATTTCTGTGATAACAAACTCGTGTCGCCCAATAAACGTGAAGAAACGATTTCACGCATTCTCATTAGTGAGATTTACCCATACAATGGCAGTGCAAAGCCGTTGATTAAGTGAACTATGTCGTTGACCGGATGAGTAACCTCAAGGCGTCGACTGATCAGTTGAGTGCCAGACAGGCTAGGATTCAGCTACTATTCAATACGTCTTACGGTGGTGCGTTTTGTGATTGAAGGCCGGAGTATTCTGTCTAAAGGGCTCTAAACTATCGTTTGAATTGAGCCCACGTTATGACATGTACTAAGATAGGGGAAAGGAATATACAGATATCAGAAAGAGTACATAGCTGTCCGTGTCCGAAGATCGAAATGCTTAGATCATATAGCTTAAAACAAAGCTATATGAATAAAGAGTAATTTATATCTGTATATATTAAACAATTTAACTAACTTCTGTATCGGGACGTGAACTAAGTTTCCAGCGATAAATTTCACCGAATTAACACAACATCGTCGCGAAACTGATAGTTAAACATCCTAACCTCCGTCTAAGGGTCTTGGAGGCGTCTATTTCATGACGAAGCAATTTTCGTTGGGTTGAACACAACTGTACCATAGTTTTTTTAACTCAATCAGAAAACAGATCTCAGTTGTGCTCATATTGATTTAGATCTCCTCGATTCTTTCACTTTCTATTTTCAAATATTTTTCAAGCTGTGAGAAGAAAATAAGTCTGCTGAGGTTATGTTTGGCAATATAGGGGGCCCTTTTCTGGGTACCTGAAGAGTACTCTATAGAGAAAATTGATAAAGCTCCGCGCTCCCTGCCGTCAAATAGCCTTCTGCAAGCTTATTAAAGGTGATTCGATTATTATCTAGCAGAGGTTTTTTCTTTCTACGGTCTGTTCCTACCTGCTATGACAGGTTCGCCAGAGCGGGTACCAGTCATAACTTGGTCTCTAAAAGCGTTCTACAACACTGTGGTATGAACAACGCACTTTGGTTTCGTTTTCCAGAGAAATCAAAAGCAGTGGTTCATTTGATAATGTCTTTTAAAATGCGAAATACGCGTTTACGATTTCGCTTGTGACTAACAGACAGGTAGATTTCAGCGGTATAGTTAGCTTACAAAACAGTAGTGTCACTGAATTTAGGCTCAATCATATGAAATAGGTACTGGATGCCGTATCTGACGGCAACACCGGCTGGTATTCACTGACCTTAAGCAAAGCAAACGTACGAAGCGTTCTCATTGGATTCCTAAGTGTACCTTCACAGCATCCTGCTTCCACTTTATTTATGTTTGATTTGCGTCGTACGTATTCTCCTTTAGATATATTTCCCTGTATTTCTACATTCGTTCAGTTATTCAAAATCAATTGTAAATAGATGTTCATTAAAAACCTTCAAATTGTAACATCAGTACTATTTTCATCGCACTTTAGGTTCATCGAGCCAATCAGGAAGCTCACGAACGTGTCCTGTCAGCGAACAAGCAAGCCGCAGTTTCCAAGAGGCGCAAAGAAGAAAACCGTCTTACGATGTCGCTAATGGCATTGTGCTGCGTGAAGATTATTTCGGAAGTGACATACATCAGCAGCGATGAGGAGTTTGCCTGGATTTTCTACACGGAGTATGGTAACAAAGCCCTTGGAATATCATGATTGACAAATTATTGCACACCACCTACGTCAGGTGTATTCAAGGTGTACGTCAAGGCGACACCTTTACAAAAACTGCAACTTTGGCTGCAATAGCATCACTGCTAGTGGTCATCATTGTGCATATAAAGCTTAAGAACTTTTGAGTAAATAGTATTTTCGAGGAGTTCATCCACCTGTAATCATCAAAGTGCCATTGGTTTTGCGACCGGACTCCACAAGCTGAATGAATAATTCAACTTGCTCGCGCTTTTACATAACCCTTTTACTAGAATTAAATAGTTAATGCGTATAAAGTGGCAGAAAATTGTGTCTTCATTTCGAGACTTCATTCATCTTGGGCAGCGGTGCAAGGCATTGGCTCATAGGCAATATTTGCCGATTTACAGCAACGCTTTGTGAGTACCCGTTAGACTGACTAATCCTCGTTTATAGCACAAGAAGTGTGACCTTGCCTCAAAATGTCATTATCACCGACCACATTATAGCGTAACTCCACTCCAATATGAGACGCGGGCACATACAGCGGAGTTCATTCACGGCAATACCTTTGTTTTTCTTATGCAGATCCGCCTGGAGTCCAACTCAAGTTCCATCAGATCCTTTCGAACGTCGTAGTAATATTCGAATACTCATCGTATTTCTACCTTTTGGCGTTTATTAACCGAAAGTTTAAGCGGGAGTTTCTTAAGCAGGTCGTCTACGGGAAATTCCTACGGCAGCGGTACTTCGGCTCGATCTTCAATACCATGTCGCTTTCTTCGCACGGGGGCTCTATTGCTAGTACCAAGGTGAGATGCTGCATATAAACTGAGCATGAATTCGATATCTACCTGTTACACTAAGCCGTCTATCAACTTAGGAGAAACTTCGAATTTGGCATTAAGTCGTGCACCTTTGTTCTACTCCGTGTACGCTGAACAATAAAAAGAAGAAAGGCATGATTAAGTCGAGACTGTGGAATCTATGGCAGCAACGTGAAGGATGTGTTAATAAGTAAATATGACAGAAGGTTGTTTTTTCTAAACGGATCGCCGTCGACGGGAATAACTTACCGTCAAACCTCCGCGCGACATCCAACTAGTTTATATTTGGAAATGGATTTGTTATCAAGAAAGCCTCAATGCATTTTATACTACCTGCACATCTTATGATTGCTCTCCCACACGCATAGTACAGGGGACAAGATGCTGATATCCTGTATATACTAACTGTTTAGCTTGCTAAGGTACCGGGTCTGTTGCCACACAACCTGTTAGTCCTAACGGTTCTCTTTGTATGGTATGTTAGAGTGCGTTTGCTCTGTACATGTATGATGGAGATGCTTAGCATTAGAACTGCACAGCTGAGTGGAAAAATGCGGAGACAAAAACTAAACGAAGCCCTTGGATACAACGCACGTTTTGAAGCGGCTATTATGATATTTACGTATTACAGTAGTTCGATATGTGATCTGTTCGTCGTTAACGAATAGCAACAATTCTACGGTAGCGGCTGCTCAGACCTAGCTTATGGCACTAGCAACTGATCCTAAGAGAGAAAAAATACGTATACCTATATCTAACATCTGACATATTTACATTTCTGATACAATTACTTGTTAAAATCGCAATTCGTATTTTATTGTACGTAGGTGATACGGTAGCTACTATTATCCGCACAGAAACGTGGCCCATAAACCACCCACTCAGCGTTACTTCATTACCATTTCGCTTTCACATTACTTATATCTGGAGGCCCGTAGCGACTATGAAACTATGTACTGACATTTCATATTCTGGTAACTGCCTGTATTGAAAAAATCTCTTTGTTTACTAATCTCAAGTATGCTCTTCGATTCATCAGGACTGCAATGACGCATCGATGAGCAAAGACGGATCACTACGTAACTTTGCGGCGCTTGCTCCGACCAGCCCGAATAAGCGCAATAGGAAGCAGAATCTAGACCTTGAAAGAGCCATCCAGGAGTTTGGAGACAAGGCACTTTAAACAGGTAACAACACTTGCACTTGCACTGATTAGTCCTGAATAGAGAACGGTAAAGCTAAAATGTCCTACGTCCAATGATCACGATTCCTCGAAGGTGATAAGCGGCTTTCTCAGGAAGAAAATCTTCGGTGGACGCATGGGATATTAACATCAAAGCTACAGTCCCGTCAATAGACTCAAGCTTAGAATCTCGTTCGGATCCACTTTCTTAGCGCGTACATGAAAGTCTGAAAAGTGTCCTGAATCACAGTCGAAAATAATAAAGGACGAGTAGCTACACTAACATACACAGTGCGTACATGTAAGGTGCGTACAACGAAGAAGATTTGCCACACAGTTTAGAAGAAAGGAGGTCTTGAGAACTATAACATATACTAACGGAATCAAATATTAGTTCCTAGTTAAGTGAGAACAAATGGGAGAAACTCGTTACAGAGTAGCATTTGCGCCTGTAAGTTGTGAGAAACAAGCTTTTCATATCATGCTCCGCCCTGTAACCAATACATTTTTCGTCTATTTTGAGCCTTTAAGCCTTTGGAAATGCAGTCAAAAATCGAACATCATTTATATGTAAAATCATGGAATCAGATCATCATTAAAGAAAACACGAGGCCAATAAGCACTAAGTCATGAGCCAGTAAACATCAAAAGCGAACTGTAAACTAATCTATCACGGGGCTAAAAATGATCTGCATCAGTGGGCTTTTATCGGACAACCGGTCCCTCCCATGTGAAAAATCACTTCGTTGAGGGTAACGTTCGAGTTGTGCGTCGGAACAATATAACATTAAAATTATCAGATAGCATAAACATCTTGTTGTCGCTCCTGATCTACGTCAAATTAAAGGTCGCCAATTGTAGCTCTCTGTAATTAGATGTTCACGAAAGGAACAGAGCAAAACTATTGTGAATAATACGGGCCGCTGATCACGGTCAGCCACAGAACAGTGTTGTTCGCCGCGTCCAAAAGCTGCCTTTGAACATTGGCTAACAGCAAAATGGCTAACGATCCTTTTGCAATATGTTGTTGAATTTGTTCATACCGTATTGTCTTTTAATGGCGTATAGTGTCAGCGTTAACCGCTAATTGGCTCTATCCGACAGCGGGGATCGTGCTTTTTATATTTAGTGTTTAATAGCCCAACGCAGATGTATCAGTGAGTACTGCCAGCACCACGTAGCACAAAATAAGAAACTCGTAAAATTAAATCGAATAGCTAATGCTGAAATTTAAGTTAAGGCTTGCTCCTCTGCTTAAAGTTGTGTTCATGTATTCTATACGGGGGAGCAGTCTGGACCTTGAAAAGGCGATCATCTATCTAGATGTACAATTTGGTATGTATACTGTAATATTGCCAAGCTATTGTGCATTGTTCTCTATAATATTGCTAACAGACAAACGCGTATCAATTTATCTGTACTTGTATGTGGGACAGGCATCTTATCCATTATATATGGAAAACTCACGATTGTCCCCGATCATAGTCGTACAATAACAGAACTACGTTCTACTCCTCGCACTTTGTTGTTGTGATATAAACATGACCTATACTATTAACAACTATGTGATCTGTTGCTGGACAGGTCGAATTTTCTACGAATGCTAGCATAAATTGTTTCGATCGACACCAACACAATTTGGGACGGAGATCTTCAATTTTGTAATAGCAAAAACATATCAAAAAAGAAAGACCTTCCACCTGCAGTGGCCTATACACGTAGGCAAAAAAAACCGATCGTGTATACCGCTTTCTATCCGTCGTCGTCGACGTAAAATTCTTAATAGCGATTTCCTGCACAGCTAAGCTTTGTGCAGCTCTGAAAAGGCGCAGTGATGAACACAAATGGAAAGCGGCTGCCAGAACTGCGGTGTACTAGGGAATCGCCTATTAGCGTTTAGTAATTTCCTTACTCCATACATGTAGAGGAAAGTAGTTCTGTCATAACGGGAAATAGACGAAAAGATACTCAAAAGATGCTGATGAATTGACCTGCGCCCATAAATTTTGACGTTCTTACTAATTGTTGCGCGTCTTCTTTCGCAGAAGCTAGAAACTATACAACATACTGTATGTTTTCCGTAAGGCCTTAGTGAAGACTAATTTAAAAAGTGTGAAATAAGGCAGCAAAGTCCCTCTGGGAAATCTCATGCATTGCAACTGTATTAAAGCTCTAGTCGAAAGCGTATGTTATGACACAATATCACACACAGGTACTAATCATAATGATTCTTATGAATATTACACGTGCTTATGCTAATACACAATAATGTGTAAACTGAATAAAATGCGTAAAAAAGCTTCAAAAACTCTTTTGGCTGGCGTTTGGACAGAGAAAAGGGCCTCAATATTGACACTGTTCCTATTACCTTCTGTGTATTTTCACTCCCGCGCAACATTGTTCTCGCAACGAGTTCAAGCAAATTGTACAGTAGATCAATGTAAGCGTGCTAGCTAGCATTTAACTAGGAGAACTTCCACCGTTTTTTTTTGTTCTGCTTTCATATTTGAAGATTTAAGTTTAACTAATATAGCCCGGGTTGTTCTAATGACGGGAACTTCGCTAGCAAACGAGATGTAGTTTGCACGTCAGGATACGTATTGTTAAAACGTTTAAAATTTACGTATAAATTCCTGCAGCACGACAAGGTTTCCTTATATTGTCTCTTTGGGTCAGATGGCTTTCCTAAGACACAGTTGCATATTCCAAACGTAGACGTCTTTTTCGTTCTTCGCAAAGCTGGCACATTTTTAATCTAACTATTTATCGAACCTAATTAAAACTTTCATTATAATACTAAGTAATTTTTATTAAAATAATGTGTGCCTCTGTGTTCGAAAAGTACAAAAGTAAGTTATGTGTAGGCCCCTTCCCCACCGATATATTGATTGAACTCATATTAAGAACAACGTTTTTATTCATTGTTTAGCTTTTATCCTCTGCTATGCCACCTCCCCCACAGTGCGGTCGAGCAAATTCACATTTAGAATAGTATTACCATTATTATTATCATTTAAAAAATGATGTGTAATTCTGATCGATAAAGAACTGTATTATTACAGTTACAAATTATCTGTTTTTTTTTTTTACTGGATATACAAACATTGGATTAGATACGTTCACAGGCATGTTCCCGTAATCAATCATATTAATCTAGTGGAATGCTTTTAGTTAACCAATAACGCGGTGGTAACAGCCATGTCTTGCTAGACCTAGTCGATATTCAATGATTATTTATATTTAATAGAGGTAAATTGTGATAATTTAAAATCTGAGCATCTAATTAAATTCAAATTATGGAAAATAATAGCATTTACTGGAGATATACCTCTTGTTACGCGCCAGAAAACTATTTGTGTACTTCGCTGTGATTCTACCTCCTTTATTCACTAAGATGACTTAATGAGAGAGACAGGTAGAAGCAGATAGATCGATAACAGCGTTTGTTCACTGAATGATATAACTTCTCAACATAACATAAGTAATAATCGTAAGTAAGTAATTTTATGCTTCCTGGAGCGTACAGAAGAAGTCTGCACCAAAACCAGGAACCTGCTGATACATACACACGTTAATAAAGAAAATACTAGTAGGAAATAATAGATTTCATTGCCGTCCAGTATTTCTTAAAACAATAGTTGGCCTTCTGGATAACTCTCTTTTTGAATTCATTAACAAGATTTGGGCACCTCGTTGTTTTTTGGTAAAAAAAGAAGACAGAAATCTCAGTTGCAGCACAGAGCATGTATGCCTTCAAATCGACCAGATCATGTGCATTGATATGCGGAGGTTTTCGAACGAAATTCAGAAATTTCAATAGAGCCACCAGTTTATAAAAATTCAATCGCCAGTAACCAAATAATTAGCTGGTAGTCAAGAGAAAATTATTTTCATGTTCACGTCGTCAGATCTGTCAGTAACGTTCAATGCGGCAAAAAGATATTTGTTTAGAAACGGTGAGTTCGTGATCTTATAACAATTCTATCTGCACAACCGTATGACACTTAAATGAGGCCGTATAAACACTGTAAGGATTTTTGTGTCTACTAGATAGCCGTATTGGGAGGCCTTGGAAAATGGGTGGGCATACATATTAACTGACATCGCAAAGCCTGCCCTGTAGAGCAAAACAAATCCGTGAGCTAACATGCACGTAAGCTGTGTTACATCGACAACTTTCAAGAATCAGATGTTTCGTTCGCATAAAGAATTTTTGACGGCTTGGGCAGCTAAGGGTCTGGTCGAAAGAAATTAAGAATTGCTCCATCAGGTTCCAATAACGATGTAAGTACTATACAATTGACATTAATTTAAAAAAAAAAAAGTGATCTCTAGATAAATTAGTCTAAAAGCCGAACAATAGTAAAGGTACTATTTCGATCATGTATTACTGCAGAGCATTTCTAGAGTACCCATATATATACTCAGTCGAAAACCTAATTATATATAGGCTTACATGCTACCATTTTAATTAATTAGTATCTTCATCTACACAGAAAGAATTATGTGGCGCATGTTTAGTATAGCTAATTTCCTAGAGTATTTGGATTTAGTAGACCTTTCATTTTCCTCTATCTCTGGACCTGGTTCGTTTGTCTGTCCTCGGGGCAAAAGGTAAAAACAGTCCATACAACGTGAAGAATGACCATCTCAACTAAAGTAGTCTGCTAAGACGGTTTTTCTAAAGTTCGATTGAAGCAATGTATTTTTTCCTGTAAACGGACGAGCTTAGCTTGGCTTCTGTTCTCTTAGCTAGGCTAATGAAGTTACATGTCAGACTAAAGGCGGCGGGTAAATCGTTCGGTGGCAGAATATTCAATCCAATACGTAGACGACATTTAGAAAGGGTCACAGCTACTGGACGTTGGCTGTCTGAAGCGATTTTAAAGCCTGAACAGTAATTCTAGAGGTTTGTAGTAGACGAAGGTGGAAAAACGAGACACAACTTTACTAGTTAAAATTTCATCTCTCTGTGAAATGGAAATGGTTTGTAATAAAGATTTGAAAGCTTAGATGTAAGAGTAAAAGATACACTCTTCCAAAACATCATTCCATATACCCAACAGTAAATGCAATAATAATAATGTTTCGTTAAAAAAAAAACATGTAAGCATAAGTGACAATGACTACACATATCAAAAACATTTATCTTATAATCAGTCATATTATTAGGCATAATTATCCATAATTATATCTAGGCGTATATACATAGAGCTCAACCATCCATGGTAAATGTCACCGCATCTTAAATAAGCATTTTCCCACTAAATGCCCATATTCGTGCATCGTACAAAACTCAACACGAATAGACTTACTTTATCCTTTGATCAATCCACAATCTGTAAAAGAATTTCTCAAACCTCCTACAAAGGGTTAAGCTAGGCGCAATTTCAGCGGAAAAATCTAGCAGCCATTTTGTCATAGTCAACGCCTTCTGCGCGTTCTCGCCGTCATGATTACCCTCTTTGGCATCGTATCATTGGCTTTGTTCCGCTTCTGCCTCCGGTGCTTTTTTTTTTTGTATTGTTATGACTTTTTATTAGGATTTATGAGGACGTTACTGCTATCATTTTTATTTTATATTTACACTTTTGAAGCTCCATTTTTGTTTTCGCCCTTCCAAAGCAAACAGGAAATCGCAGCAGTGACAGATTTTCTCTAAATAAATTCAAGTTAGATTTTAAATAAACCTAGTTTTACTAGAGATTGGCAATTATTTGCGATTAAGATTGTTATAGGAAATACTGTTTCGCAAGAGTCCTTAAGAAAGCGGCCTTTCTCTTCTGAGCGGCATCGTCGAGACAGGCCTTGGAGTTGTTCGAGTTCAGTTCTAACCGTGACATATGTGCTAACACAGTTTTTTTAGCTTCAACCTCGCCACGACGCGTGTGAAGATTTGCTAAAAACTCGAGCATATTCGTGTCCCACATGTACCTGAAATGAAAACGGACCAGCCGAGCGTAACGTATCTGACACTAAGTGATAGATTCTAGTCAACGTGACTAGCAATAGTCATAGCAATTTTGTTAACGACAATGCTATTAAAACACGATTCCGGTAGGTCGCTAACAAAGGTTAGATTCTTCACGGAAGATGTGGGCCAGGCAATGACAAAATTACTACTTTTGACAGACATCGAGTATTATTGATTCGGTTGTTATCACTGTGGTAACCACGAGTTTTTCTTTCTATGTCAGAATTAATTCGGCAGTAAAACAGAACAGTTATGATGATGACAGAATTTACGCATTTTATAAGTCTAGATTATTATGAAAGGTAAGCGATATCAGGGACTTGCACTCAAAAATTTCTATTCTTCTTGCAGACTGCTCTTTCCACGTCAACGTAATCATTTAAAATACACCTTGATTTCGTAATAGCCCTGCCAACCGCTATCTTTCGAGTCATGTTGGAACAAAGAGTCCGTGTTTCCTGTGCAAAGTTGCAAATGCATGTTTTCTAAAAGTATTGATTTTAACACTTCTTATTTATAATGCTAATAGAACGAAGAAGGTTTTACCCACTTGTACAAGGAGTCACAGGAGTCGTTGCAGTTTCTTTCGTTGAGGCTTTTAAAGGCGGCCGCATAGTCTGGTGCAGCCACCGGCCATTGCAGCAGAATCGCTGCTTGCGTATGACAGGACAATTTAGCACAGCATTGCGCCATTCGACGAAACAGTGTATCATCGACAATTGTTGGCCCAGTCGAACCGGTCGTCTCCGTGAAGAAATTCGTCACTGGATGGAACACGATAGCCAACATAAACAGCGGGTTTATAAACTAATCAATAGGATTAAGAGCACAACTCAAAGGACATAAAAATGCTAGCATGCTGAGCGTCTTTAACAGAAAATTATGGATGCTGTACACGGGGCCAACTACAAATTTGCAATCGGGCCAGCAGAACAATATTATCTCGGCCGCATGAGAACAACCAAGCAACAATTAAACATATCTCTAATCACACAAGTTGAAGTCGAATTACACATTTGTCAACTACAGAAGAAGTTACCTGATACAAGGGCTTCAATATAATGTTTAAGAGCCACAGAATAGTATTTTTGGTCGAAGCATACGTCCGCGTGTGTCTTCAGCCAAAAGGGAGATCTCGCATCCATCAGGGCAGTTTGCAAGAGGTGCGTGCATGTATCGAGACAGTAATGAGAAGCATCCTGAAGGGACACTGGCCAGAACGCTGGATATTCATGGGACACGCTAGAATTGGAATCGTCTCTGTAAATGCAACGTTAACTTTAGTAACCTTTATTTTAACACCGGTATACGCGATTAACTTTGTGATAAATCAACGTGTGATACTTTGATACACACATACGTTCCATAAACGAATAATAACTTAACCTCGGCAACGTTAAGAAAAGTATATGGTTACCTTCACGATTACGACTCTAATACCAGAAAATGCAAAGCAATGCAGCTTCCGAGTACCAAATATGAAACAGCCCAATAATCAGAGTTACTAGCAGTCAGTTTTCGGCTAGATTTTTAGAAAGTTTCCTGCATCACGCTTTTACAGGCTAGTGAATACAAATAGTGAACTGACAAAAGGGTCACAATTGCGCCAGCCACTTTAGTAAAAGCAAGCTGCGCGACAGATGTTTACTCGAAACGGGGATTAGCAATCCTACAGGTATCCCTTAAGACGCATGCGTTTATCTAACAGCAAATCGTACCGGAGTATATTGTAGAGATGTGCGAGCAGCGATATAAGGATGCCCTTAGCTAGCTTATTCTTCAGTTTGCGAAGGATGAAAAGTAGTGCTTGGCAACCATCCGCGTCGGTTCGATTTCGCTTCACCTGTAAGAATGACACAATAACTTTCCATAGGTTCTGGCCGCATCCTGCTTGGCGTGAGGAACAACACTGAGCCAATGGCCGAATCACGGCCATTACTGATCCCCGGACGTCGAGCCCCGCAACAGTACCGTACTGAGCCATGTTGAGCAGTTCGACAAGAGCTGTGTTAAGCATGCCGTTTGGCATGTCTGGAGCCCTTTGTGCAGCGAGGATCGCTTCGGCTGAACGCACCACGTCAACGCTGGCACAAATCGAGTTATACGCCAGCTCCCACTGCAGCCTGTCAGCTTTCGGCAGTTTGTCAATCAGATGCTTGAACAGGGTAGAGCTCTCAGTGAACTTCTCGAGGCGACGCAGCTCAATGGCCTTCGCCAAAATGACGTGTACTTGCGGATTTTTAGCCAGCAGCTGAAGATGATGTGGAAGCATTTGCCACTCTGAATTAAGTTTTTGGCCTGTTTAGATAAAAAAAAAATAAAAACAGTTTAATTAGAGGTTGTTCAACCTACATGATATTAAATATTAGATCCAATTATGAGATATAAGACGTTTGAGAGCAGAAGAAATGTATGTTTTTTAAACTGCTATTCACCACTACTGAAACAAGAATTTTGTAAAAGCCAATTTGTGGCTCTGTAAGCGTGGAAGGTATATATATGAGGCTATAAATCAGAAAAGTTAAACCATGTACCATTAGGCACTTTATAGGCAAGTGTGAGAATCTCGTTAGGGTCCTGACTCATGAGGAGCTTACTCTCCGCGGTGAGCTTTTCGACAGGCATTTCTATACCAGATTTCTCTGATTTTCTGCCTTCAAGAGCATCTTCTATCCTTTGTAATATAGGGGACTCGTCTGCATCGTCCATTTCTTCATCTGTTGAGTCCTCGAGTGTCTCGAAATTCGCCGCAAATCCTTCAGCTCGAGCGAACTCAGGATGTGTACGGGGCAAAAGGGATTTCGCGTTAAATAAAAGTGGCTTAGCTTCAGCGTAGTTCTCCTGAAACAAATTTCACGCGAAAAGTTTCTATTCTAAGAAAACATTCTAAACTAATAAATTTGCCATTTTTCACCTTGCAAATCGCATATTATATTCTGTATATGTTTTCCTTTAACCGAACGACATGTGTTTGTTCAAACTTAACCGATTTAATTGTTGTTGATCGGTTTCTTTTGCATCCGTTCAGCTCAAATACAACAACGCTTTAGATTCATTGTATTAATGCGTGACACCACAAGCATTTATAATACGTTTTACAAGCTACCTACCCTATTTTGCCAACGCCTATACCATCATTTGGACATACGCTAAAATACCAGCAATTATTTAATGCACAGACTAGATCGATCTCGGGCAAATATGTTCGCTTCAAAAGTTTGTAGCGTTCATATATCAACAATTCGTCAGCACATGAAGCTTGCTTTGTTGGCACAAGCTTACCTTAAAAAAAAGGTAGCTTCCAAGGTCGAGACAAATCTGCGCCTTCAGAATTATCATATCGGTAGGAACTCCCCGATCTCCACTGAAATGAGGTGGACGCATGCTGAAGCATTCCTGGGTCGCTGTAGCGACAGGTGGTGTCAATTCATCACTTTCTAGAAACTCGCGTAACCAATGACAGCAGCCGTCTGCCTCCTCTAGCAAACATCGTTCGAGACGTTCGAGGACATCCGGTGCTACATAAGTTGGATCCGTTTGGCCAGGTAGCGGGACAACCACGCCACGGGGACCTCGCACCTGTAAGCGCATGCAATAATCATCAAGATTGTAACGCTCTGTAGTCAATACGGTTTGCAAGTAGAGATCACTTCTAAGTTTTTTCTTAAAAGCAATCATTGAAAATTCGAATCCTCATTCAATTCATTTATATCTTAAGTCGGATAAAACACTGTTCACCTATCAAGCACTTATTTTCCTTACTACATATTTAGTATTAATGGTGCATATAAAAGTAAAATAATAATTCACGTTTATTGACCAGTTCGAAAGTACAAGACCGCATCGATTGGTGAATGAACCAGATTAAATATAGTTTCATCATACGTCGAAGCCTATCGGCAACTACTGTTATTAGTAACAAATATTAAACCCTTTCCTCTTCTACTAATATTTAACATTCTTATCATAGCTTGTCCTCACGTAAAAGTCCACATATAGATATATACACATATAAAAGATAAATGTTATCGATTTTGGGTAATAGTTTATAATGATAGTGACCGATCAAACCATTCGAACTATATCGATATTTAAATCGGTGATGTTTTAGGTAATATTAAGTTGCGTATAAACTTACAGGCACTTGAGACTTGAAAACGTATCTGAGAACCCATCGGCAGTAGAGCGCTCGAGCGAATATCTCGTAGGGAGAACCACGCTGTTGCGGATGTCCTGTTGCAGTTACTGCACAAAACTCAGCCAGCAATAGTTGCTGCATATGCACCGGCAACTCGTGTGCAAGCTTTCCAAGATCCCAGCTAGATTAAGTGGAAAAAATTAAAGCTGATAAATTCCGAGCCATTATATTCCCGCCAGACTCTATTTTACTAATCTCCTAATATTTTATCTCAATTACCGAACAATTAGAGCTGCTGATAAAAGCATAGGTGCATCGACGTCTATTTGCCTAGTGATAGTTTCTCAGATCGGTTACGCAATACTAATGTTTTGTGGTCTAAAAATATCGAATACTGTTTATAGACACTAGACGGCTTCTAGATACGTTGTCCGTTGATTCGTTTAATTTCTTCTTAGTTTCCACAAGAGGCGTAATCCATAGGAGTGACGTAAAGCAGATATTTTAATATACGATTTTTAAGTCATTTCAGGACAATACAATAGGGGCCATCTTCATTAAAGCACAAGAAGCAACCTTAAACAGTTCTCGTTTTTATTGTTCTCCAAGAACGTCGGTTCGTAAGGCAATTTTCGAGAACTTATTCACAACACACGACGCTAGTGTAACATACTTGTTGAGCGCCACGATTTTTAAGGCGAGAATCTTCCTCCTAAGATTTTTTTCCGCTGCATCATTATTATTGCTTAGAAGTACCAGGCAAAGCTCCCACGCTCCAGGATCTGTCAAATAAAGTAAAACCGAATGTGATAAGCAATTATTCATTTAGTTGACATAATTGCGTAGGATTGTGAATAGATAGCAGGCGTACCGATACTATCTGTACGCGGAAGGTTCGCTACCCGACCAACGGTGGTGCTCTTTCAACTTCTTCTTATTAGCTATAAACCATTAAATTAAACGTAGTTTAAGAGCAGTTGCGAGCTATTACGTGTGAGCTGATGAAAGGTGTCCACCGTACTTGTAGCTTAGTATCGTAAACGTACAATCATCACCGCTGATTTTCCAGGTTGGAATTTTTCGATTCCCAGTGCCTGAATGGAAGAACAGTAACACATACCGGGTTGAGATTGTGCCAAATGGTCCGCCAGAAGGTTGTCGTCTAATAAGAATTCGAACCATTGTCTCTTTTCTGATGCCAGAGGTAACATGTCGTTTGTTGCACTCGCTGACATCGGCTCAAACTATGCGAAAGCACTATCGATGTGAGATGATTCGCACTCGAAAATCTTGTTGTTAAGCAAATGTCTATATAATGAACTGTATAAATATTTATGTTTGACAATTTATAGGAACTTTGAGTTTACACAGTTTATCTAAGAAACACTTGTTCCTCACTTCACACTGGATGGTATTGATATGGTTAAACATGTTCCCAGAAGATCGTTCAGGAGCACTGGTCTGCTTGTTTCTCTCAATCAGCTGACTAGCAACTCTCACTGATGCCGTCTGCATCAAAAAATCCCCGCGCAATTTACCTTGACGAAACCGGATGTTTATTATATATATATTAGTGGTCATACGCATCAGGTGCATTTTTCTGTATCCTGCAACTAAAAGTTATAACGTTATCGCCACTACCAGAAATAACTAAGACCGGTATGCTAAGGCTGAAGGCAAAATGACGGCACCTGTATTATTCCCAATTGGAAAGTTCTTCCTATTGACTGTGTTTTACTAAACCTTCGCTATAAGCGAATATAGTCGTGTATTTTATCTTCGATACTTTGTCCTCTAAACTATGTAGGGGCTGAAAGTCATCCCTGGTTAAAATTATTACTGCTTAATATTTTAGTCCCTATTTATATATTGGACCAAACTTCTGACAATAGATCGATTCTTGTTTATCGATGAAATCATGTAGTATTTTATGCAGCATTACAGACTTCTAGAGAACTAGGTAGGTCTAATAGTTAAATACAGTTAATTTGGTCAGCCCAGTCCTTCAGCATATAGAATGCAGGTGACAATAGTAGCTTCTTTAGCCCTACAACCAATTCAATCATCGTGGCGATGGCGGTTTGAACGATTAAGCCTCTAGCTGAAAGATTTCAGGGAATGTTACCTTAAGAGCCCCAACCTAAAACGTATACGACATGCATTTTTCCTGACAATAGCAGCGAGGATATAAAAGAAAACTTCCGCAAATGATGTTCGCATGCAACAGATAACACACTCGCACAACCTTCTGTGCTAGGTGCTGTTACTCCTATCCCCTGATCAGTACGGGTAAACCTTGTACATGCACCTTATTCAATTATAAACTACAATGACAGTTAGTTGTGAAGGAAGAGACTCCCATTACAAAAAACTACATGTCCATCCTCTCCAGTTTAGGAAAGTAGTCTTTCCGGAGTGCAATGAAAAGGCCTCCTCCTGGAGTTTCCAATTTCCTAATCAAGTAGAGCCTAGTACCAGGTAAATATGATTACAGTACATAAATCTGAAACTTCAGCTCGGCAAGAATAAGTTTGACCAATTTTAAACAGATCTATTTTTTTTTCAACAATTTTAAATAGTTACTCTTAGTGAATAGATCAAGGATATGTAATATATGCAGATAATAAGAAATACTGAAAGATTATCCAAAATTCATTGTTTCATGCTAATGATTCATAAAGTTGCAACCGGCTCGGAATCGAAACGGGAAAGAAGTTTCTACTGTCGTCCAAAAGGAGTCAATCGGAAGCCCTTGCCTTAGATGTAGCCTCTTTTTTGAATTCTAAGCAATTTTTCACCCAAGCCTAGTTTATTCATCGATAGCAGCATCTAAAATACACGTACTACGAGTAACGATAGTTCGCTTTGCCTATACACACATATATATGTCTATTTCATCACAGCGCATAAAGTACGATTAAAGAATAACATATTTGTTGATGGCACTCGGATAAACGTGACACTTTTTAGCAACAAAACGAAACATTTTATGGTCTAAATGAATCAGTTAACCACAAATATAGCTCTAGATGCAAAGAGCAAACATCTAGTTGGTAACAGAATATATTGTAATGAACATAGTAAGAATCTTAAAGTAGATATATTTGGAACTATATCATGAGAAATTCGGCCCAACATTATGTGCATCTCTGGCCTTTTGACCTGACCATTTTACCGTATCTGGCCATTTTATAGTACTTCACTTAAAACGAATTTATTGTTATTTATCAAACCCAAATAGTATATTTTACAACAAACCTACGCTGTGCTTTAAAAGGATTTCCGGTATTATGGTCATGCTTAAATTAAGTGTTCGATCTGTTGGGTCTATTGGGTCTGTTGGGTAATAAACCTAATGCATCACTACTAACTCAAATAAACATTGTACAGAGTAAGAGGTTTCGACAAAGGAAAAATATGCTCATTGGAAAACGTTTACTTGCTTAGATTTTACCAAAGTACACCCCTTATTTCCAACATTTATTTTCGCATCTATTCTTACTAATGATGGTCGAAATTATCCTTATTGTACAATGAGCCGATGAAACAAAAATCCTTGTTTGTCCTTTTTGCATTAAATATGCAGTGTTCTATCCACGACCCACGAGTTAAACTTTAATACTATGTTAACTTATCAGCATTCAAGTCTATCAACTCTATTAATAGCTATCACTATGATGCTGTTTTCATGAGAAGCTCTAACTATTTAGCCCTTAACAAGTTGACTAAGTTATCGTAAGCTTTTCTCAGTTGGTTAACTCCTTGTTCTCGTTTTGCTTTTGTAAACCAGTCAAGATACATTGTACAAGAACAAAATAAGATGGCCGAGGGCTAGGTTTTTCAATAGGTTTTCAAATTAGGGTGTCTGCAATGTCTAACAACAGTGCCGAACATAAGACTAGAAACGGTTAGGTTATAACGTCAAAATCTCAAGTTTAGATTGGAGCTCAACTTGCGTAACGATTTTATACTACGATCGCTTTATAGACTGGGTTTAAGATCAACTGAGCAGATATTGCAGTGTAGAGGTACTGCAAAGGAGATTTTTTATTTGTTTCAGCAGGATGAAAATGCAAAAAAAGATGATTGGCCAAGTATAATTTGTAGTACACACACCTGTGCTCGGCTATAAAAGATAGATGCAGAAGATAATCAAACGGCACCAGCGTATGTTCTTCCTGTCTATAGGCAAACACTTCTTCCATGGCTGGGTACAATGCATACATTGTAGCAACTTGCGTCTTCGCTATTATGATCTTATCGTAGCGTTAATGAAGTTTCGTATCGAATAGAAATATTATAATATCGGATATGTTGTCCTAGAATTCACAAATGGGGTGAAGACATCCTAATCAGTCGAAAGATGAGTCTTTTTCAAACAATACATTACGATGTTATTTCCATAAAATTCAAATTGAGTGTCTTCACTTAGAACTAGTTATCTAAATATATCTTTAAACGGCCTTTGGATGCTGTCACAAAAATGCTCCTTGTGATGTGCTGAATTAGACTTGCCCTATGTATAGGAAAGGCAGAAAGAAGAGATTCTCTTCGTTTAATATCTAACGAAGTATTTAATAATTATTTTAATATTTTATAGTAAACCGTGTTAGAGTAATTATCTTCTGTCGATTAACTACAGTCCACAACTAGCAACATTTAATTGACTTAAATATTTTTGCGTCTTCATTTATTAGTGCAGCTACATCACACTCTGACAGTTCGAGATCTATTCACTTAGGTCAATAGCTTAAATATTTCGAATTTTTTGTGCGGTGGTTAAATTGCTAGGAATTGCTTCACGCGGCTGATCCCGAACGTCGACAGCTTAAGGTCCTAAGATTGGCCAAGAAGGACTTGTCATACATAAACCACCTCCTTATAGCTGTCGTGCCCTGGCACCTATTGAGGACGCCACTGAGCGAACGTAGGTAACACAAGACTCCCCTCATACCAGAAACAAGGCAGGCCAAAATCTGTCCTAGATGATGAAGGGAAGCGAAAGGAGCTCGCTTAGCCGAGGGAGGTGGCTCAGGTCTTCCGACGAGTATGACCCGTCTAGGGAGGGGTTGGCTCGCTGGACTGTGTTTGCTGAACGAGTAATGCGAAGTGTATCGCACTGTGAAGACATCAGATGTGAGGGGTTAACAATTACTACGGCAACGCTTTCATCCTGACCGGTTCTTTCAGGTCAGAAGAATCAGGCGTAGAGGTGGAAACTAAACAATGTACACTCTATCGTTAGGCTGTAGTAAGATGTCGGAAAACGCGTTTGTGAACAACGACGTAAAAATTATTTGCTGAATAAGTGCATCAGACACTAATTAACGTTGCAGAGAAAAATGTTAAGATATTTTTCGTATGTAAAGATAAAAAGAATTTAAAGCTCATCTGTCTACAGCATTTATTTGTACTGTAATAAGTATTTGTACATTTATTTGTATTGTAGGAAGTATCTACGGTAGATTTAGTAAAAGAAATTGGTCTACAAAAAAATGTATGCTCGGTCCAAGTAAATCTATGTATTTATATATCTATAAATTACTTCACATAGTCTAAGTTAAGACAAGCAAGCTATGAAAAATACAGACGGGCGCTTGATCAAGTTAAATTAGCCTGCTTACTTAATAGTAGTAGCGCCCTCGATAGAACAGTATTTCTAAGGTTTATTTTTACATGCAAAAAGGTGTATGCATAAGCCTAAGATAAGAAAGTCTGTATTACTATATAAACATATTCTGACTACAATCTATCTATCCGTATCTAAATATTATAATGATAAGGGTACTGTGCAATGAAAGCTTTATTTTTCAAGAGTTCCCTGAGTAGGAGTTTCGTAAGTTAGAAAGCATTTGATAAATGGAAGAGATGTTTTATCGTTGTTCCTTTTAATATTACCTTTATTCATTGAAATGGCATACCACTAAATTGTTCTGGTAAAACTCGTTTGGGTGTACCTCTCTGAACCCCCATCCCCTTACGCTTTACTCATTTCATAGCTTTGTCTTGGTTCGTACTCTAACCGTGTAAATTACATTAAGCACCATTTCAAAACCGGCTGCCTTTACGAAATGTAAGTTGACAGTTGATCCTCATAGATTTTTATGTACGTAATTTGGTAGTTACACTATAGAAATCAAGTGGACTCGTGTATATAGAAAGGATATCAACACTGGTGGCAAAATAACAACGTCTGCCAAGGTGAAAGCCTTTCTCCGCATTGCAATCCTAGCCGAATTGCTCCACCCAAGACAGCAGATCATGATGAAGAACCAAATTATGTTATCTAGGGTCGATGCGGGACTTCTAACGGGCAAAAGAAGTATTGCGCATCCACTGTCACAAAATGATATTATAACAACGAATTGAATCATTTTGAGTATTACAAGCGTCAACGATCAGTCGATTTTAAATTGTTGTATTCGAAAAACCGGCTAGTTTCGTGTAACGAACGAAACACGAACTCGACTATGCTTATCAAATTACCAAAAGCAAAAAGCCTTGAGATTAGTATTACGCAAGAGCGTTTTATATTTTAATTGTCATTTTTATTTTAGGTAAACTAGATCCACCGACAACCCTTGAATAAAATAAGGTGTGCTTCTTGTTAAACGTTTTTTGGGCACAAACAGCTAACCTGTCGCATAAAATATATATATATATGGAAAGATACGTTAATAGGTAGGAAAATACGATAAATGGAGAACTTGTCTTTAACGCTCAAAAAGCTTTAAATAAAATAATTAATATAAAAGGTTTTTTTTTTATATCACGCATAGAACACTTAATAAAATATAATCTTAAGGAACCGATAAGAAATATATCTATTCAGAATATCGCTTGCTAGCAGCTGATAGTGGTATTCATGGGCAGTAGCTTTTTTAATTTGTTGAATTGCATCATATCTGGTTTTCACTTAACCGAACTGCTATAGCTTCTGCAGTCTTCCTACAAGCTATCCAGAACGATGTATGGGATTTCGCATGAAATTTTCTCTCGAAGTTCAAGAGTTGAAGATTTCTACCCTCTAAAAACTGCTGCCAATCGAGATCGAGCAGGCGGCGGTTATTATCATCAAAAATCATTTTGCCTTCACTAACACTCCGACTTCATCTGGCCAGTCCGTTTCGGTCTACGGAACCACTGCATTCGGTGACATTGTCACTAAAAAAAAAACTTTACATTAGAATTAACAGAAGAATTAGAAGTGCAACAGCATTGTTGAAATCATGATTAAATTATCATAACATGGTAGCCGACGGACCGCGTAAGGCAACTGCCTAGCTGATTGTCTTAGCTGGACTATTTGTTATTACTAAGCACGTGAGCCTTAATAGTCGTACAGACACTTCATTTTGTCCCAGCAGGAGCAGTCCGTTTGAAACAATGTCTAACAGCGGTGCCAGACATAAAACTTGAAATATTTGTCAGTCACTAGCTCGCAAAATATATCCATCCGCTCAGTAGATGCTTTTATAAACGAAACAGAAAAACGCCACTTTACAAATGTCCTATTTATGTATTATTATACAACATTAAAACGGTTTAGATTCAGACTTTGTCTTCGCTAGGCTAACGACAAAACATCTTAGAGCAACACATTTTGAAACGTTTTTTAAAACGCTTTCCATTTTTTAGTTGTTTATAACCAAGCCGCGTCTTGCGGCGCCTTAGTTCTTTTTCATTTTAGTGCTACGAAAATACATCATGTATACGCACCTACAGGATATAGAGCATCGTACATTATTATTATTCTTTTCTATCACAGTCTGCAGTATTAAAAATAAAAAATTTACTTTCAGCATTATTTATTTTGGTCGATTAATTAACTAATAGGTAGCCAATTGACACGTTTAGAGCCGCAAACGATGTATTACTGTCTATTTTAATTGTGGAGACCAAAATCACCACTTGATGTCTGCTAATCTGGCTAACTCCCTGAAAGGTTCTAGTGTTTAAGGGGAAGTTAATATCCTGAACTGTGCAAAGATTAATTTTTCCATATATATATGTATGGAGGTAGACTTCATCGGTGCTTGTAATTGATACGGCTGCCGGGTTGACAGTAATGTCAGCCAACAGAATACATTTTACCAAAAACTGATTGTGTTCAAGTAAGCGTGAGACAGATACACTCAGAACCAAGCAATAGGCTCCGTCCGAACGTGCAAACAGGATTGCATAAGCAATCACGGAGTAAAGTGCGCACCGAATGTTCACTATGATTCTACATGTCCAATAGCAGTTAGGACGTTAAGAATAAACTGATAGGCCAGTCTTCGATTCTAGATTTCTGCCGGACCTGTGCGTTCATACTTAATATAATGAGAAATATAGAGAAAATGTTAATAGTAAACGGATTGCCAGATATAGGGCAGATTGCAACTTCGAAGTAGGTCAACTCGCAGCTAACAAGGCAGCATTGAATGGTTGCTGGTGGTTAGCTGATGTCGTGTCCGCTGCTTAGCGCGATTTCGTTGCTTTATGCTGTAAGTGATTGGACAAATTTTTACCCTCCGCTCTTTAATATAAGAATAAGAAAATCTATGCGCGTATGCCCCATTTGATCGTAGTGCATCGGTCCTACGCCATGTCTCTTTGACAATCTGTCGTTTACTGCTATGTCGATAATACGAACCGCTAGCAAAGACTATTCCTATCTCAAAACTATTATGATTCAGCTGGCGTTGTCGGTTCAGTTTTGGCCTGTTCTAATCTTGAACTAAAGCTTTATAAGCTTCCCTTTCGCCCGCTTCGTTTATTCGAGTATCTCAAGATTCGTCATGTAGCTGAACGAGGTGCTTTCTGGCTATGCCGGCCTTCTGTACGTCTTCTCCATACTCTGTTTTTGTTTTCTTTCCAAGCCCACCAACCAAAGCAGCTAAAGCATAACGAACTCTGACTGGACTTTGTTACTGAACATTGAATACTATTTATATATTTGTGTCAGAACAGTTCGCGCCGTTTGAGGGCAAGCTTTCAGCTGCTGCTGCGGTATAGGACCTCCGCTGCCGTTGCCTGCCAATGTTGTTAGCTTCTTCGTAGTCCTCACTCCCTCGCTGGATGTTGGCGGGCTTTCTTCTTAATATATACAGCAAACTAGTCCACCTCCTCCCCCTTCCCCCGTTCGCACCCCTCTCGCCAACGGTCTCCCTTCCATTTCTCCCTTCAAACAATATAATTTTCCTTCTACCAAACATTGTTTCTTGCCGAGCCTACCCACTCTGGCTGAGTGCCCGCCATCGGCTGTAAGCCTTGCTTTCTCTCAATGATCGACGCTCAGTGAACACCCTCACCCACAATGACGTCACGTGTTGACACCGTTTGTCGACGTCAGTGCAATTTCGATGATCCTGAGGTGCCAGTGAGTGTCCAATAAATTCTTTTGGAAATGGTCATTAGTTCTGAAAGGTTTTGAGGAAAAAAAAAGTCACATTCAACGGTAGATTATAGCAAAAGTTGAGCATTAAACACGGGGGTGACGTCACTACCGGTTTGGCGGCAGGTCCTCCGATTGGTTAAGGTTGTCCGCTAGGGGGAGCACAAGCAGCGACGCTGATTCTCTCTCTAGGCGCAGCTAAGAGTGGTGTTCGTAGCCCGGCCGGTACTTGCTTGCCGATAGCATCCTCGAGCAACACAACAGTGGAAAAAGGTGCGTACAATGATTTTATGATTCCCTTATAATTGTGATTGTGAAAAATAGCTTGTGTGAAAATTGTGCCTCACGAACGCTAGTGCCAAGTGTTTTTGAACGAATTTACTAGAAAGTTGCGAAATCGACACGAATATCGAACATCTCATGGCTGCTTTTAGGTTCTATGGTGTTCCGATATTGTCCGACGATTTAGACTGGGCTAGGCCTAAGAGAATTTTTTGGGTGTCAACCGTCGTCGGGCGTTTTATCATTTGCACTGGGATCGATAGCTAATTTTTGGGGCTATCCAGCAGGGTTAGTTTCACTTTACAAAAAAAATCGTGTGCTCCGTGAAAAATATTGCGCAGTAGTGACACGGAACCTAAATAGCCAGAAAAAAAATGGTGGTCAACCATCTCGACATTATAGGTGAGCTTGGGCGGACGCCGCAAGATTGCTAGTTGAAACGGCTTAACAGGGAGACTAAGATTGTGTCTAGACGAGCGGCGTATTTTTGGCATTTTTTTCTAGTAAAAAAATGCAATATTTTTTGGCCACATGATCGGGGCGCGCGGATTTTCTGTTTTTTTTTTTTAATTTAAACATTTGATTATTTTGTGATGATCGACCTAAAGGTCATTTAAGGGCGTCGCTTGTAGGTAAGATACGATTACATTAAATCGAGTCAGGACATAAATATGCATAGGAAAATTTCTTGCTGTTCACGAATCTGCCGCTATCGGTTAATGCGCGCTCCGAATTTTTCAGCGACGGCTACTCAGCCAGTCGACGGTTGCAAATGATACCTTGTGCCAACGAAGCAACTGTACTCCGTTGGATACCCATTTAGCGATATTCACAAATGAATTTGATTCGTCGACGAAGACTTGTTGATTGTAATTAGAATTTTTATTTAAATCAAGCAAGAATTACTATATTTTCTAGTAATTCGTTTTATTGATGAGAAATGCCTTTTCTAAGATTGTATAACAGAGTAGCCAATGCAGACACTAAATGAGTTGACTACGGTATTCAGTGCATTTTCTAAATATGGCTTAGCCCGGAGGGGCAAGTTAGAGGTATGCCGGAACTAAACACAGTAGACCCGAATGTTCAAGACAGGTATTTTGTATATATTACGCAGAGAAATAGCTATAGAATTAAAACGAAAATAACTGTAAATATTAATGTACAGCTGCAAATATTGATGTACATTTAATTTCAATTCTGATAAGAGCACGATCTTGCAAATATATTTTGAATACTCATACGGGGCGGAACGAGACAAATATCGTAACTAGTTACTGTGTGGACATAGCTAAACGTACAATAGCTACTCACCAAGGTAATGTAATATTATACTCGTTCCGCATCACTCAGGCGGTCTGACCTCAAAAAGCTGATTTTCCCATGCCTGCCTTGTTGTCTTGTGAATAAATAATGGAGAACTTAAAAAAAGCTTCCGCCTTATGCTCAATGTGCAAAAATTATAGTTGATTGGTTGCCACCATGTAGCGGTTCACGATGCCGTAGCGAATCACATTTGTAGAAGTATTCGACGAGAACAAGTAATTGTATAATCAAATATTAAGAAAATTTCACATGCAATTTGCATCGGAAGACGTGCCGTCTGATGGCTGCTAGAGGCGGATACTGAAAAGATATTAAGAAACCAGTTCCGGGCATGACCAACTTCCTTCCAACAGTTCCGACCAAGACCGCAGTGGAGCGCAGAAGCTGAACAGAATATCGAGGCTATTCGAGAGACGTCAGGCAAAAACCAGCCACCTCGATTCGGCGTCGTGTACAAGAATTGTCGCTTTCTAGTGGAATCGTATGGCGAACTTTGCGTGTGTGTACGAGTAAATTTTTAATATCACCCGGTTTTCGTGAACGAGTATTCAGCGATGTCAACGCAAGCATTCAAAAAATGTCGTTAATCTCTGCCGAAGACGGACCACATATTTAGAGTCCAATTTGTTCGCTTTTTTTTTGAAACTTGAACAAATACCCAGAAAAGAACGCTATACTTTTTTTATTTCTACAGGCGAGTTGACGGTTACTAGCTGTCGATTTGCTATTAAGTGAAGACATTTTTTTCTTCTTTAAAAAGTTTGCATGTAAAAGATACATGATACCTTAAATTTATTCCTAAATCTAACACGTATTAGAACTGAAAACCATGTGGTCTATTGGGTGCGTAAGAAATTCCCGGCTGACTTCGTTCCTTTGCTTCTATATCTGTAGCTTCATTGTATCTGTAATCTACGACGCATTTTCAAACAAGACTACATCTAGAACTATTCAATTAGAATGGTCAATAAGTTCTTGGCGTCATTGTTCAGTGTTTGCTTTACTCTACAATTGGTAACCATTTGCCTACAGCAATCAAAAGCGCTGTTGTTCCTTTAGAAATTATTTGGGTCTTATATTTAGGCTTGTGAAATCGGGATGTTACAAGTAAAGTTTTCTTTGACAGTTGCTCTAATTCGCGTGTTCGTAGAGTCAGAACTACAAAAGCAAGCTAGGATGTTTGTGCCGTGCATGGTTCGAACCCCACGCAAAGTCTGTTCTAATTTGGTATGTAAAGCTCAAAGATAGCATCTCGGACTTGTAAGATATTCCAGCTATGGTCGACTTCGCGGGGTTGATAAGAGTCGTTTGAGGTACTTTTAAACGGACATGAGAAGTGAAAAGCCCGTTAATTAGCCGAAAAACTGGACGGTGGTCGGTGAGCGACTATTGTCACTCAATACAAATAATTAAAAAATGAGAAGTTCGTATTTGGAACGCTACGAAACTGTATTAAACTTGATGGCAGAACTTTGATTTTGGAAATAAGCACCACTTTTTTTAGATATACAAACGCTGACTTGTCTGCTTATATTTTTGTGCTCCTTGTGTTTTACAGATGTCGGACTCTGAAGTTCAGGAGAAGAAGGCGCGAGGCAGGCCTAGAAAGTCTGAAGCCGACAAAACTACATCACCCGCTGCAAAAAAACCTAAGGTGAGATGAAAACCAGCCAACGCAATATGTAAATAATAGAATATTTTCAGACGTTGCGAAATTCAACAATGGCATCTTGAAATCGGAAGACATGCCCCCCTCCCGTTGTTGGACATTTGAGCTCGGCGATGTCCCACTGAAAGTACTTTTGGAGAAAGACGGGTAGACAAACAATTCGTGAAGTGGCAAAAATGAACTGCAGTCATATATCTCTCGCTAAATGTCTTCGCTTAATTATTCAAAAAGCATAAAAGCTAAAAGTACATTTTGAAAGCGTATGAATGGTAAACTTGATAAGCAAATTCATTAGCATACTTCTTACCAATACAGGCACGTCAAATCTCTTAGTTTCTGACAAAAGACTATAAAAGGAAACAAACTAATATGTTGTTGTACATCTTTTCATTCGTTTTTTTATACTGCAGGTTGATGATGGCCCCAAGCGGGGACGCGGCCGCCCAAAGGGTTCCGTGAATAAGAAGAAAAAGGGATCTATCAAAAAGGGAGCCGCTGGTGGCAAAAAGCGCGGACGCAAACCCAAGGCCGCGAAACCCCCACCCCAAGCTGAGGAGGAAGAAGAGGCTGCCGAGGACGGCGACGAGTAGGTCGTCGGCAACAACTACTACATGATAACACCTACTACCAACTAACAAGCAAGAAACACCATCATCAACCCGCTCGCTGTCATGGAGCAGCAACGACAAAAACAATCAACAATAACAACATCGAGGAACTTTTCGAGGAAGTAGTTCTGGCGTTGCCATATCGTGGGCAGGCTCTGGAAAAGCGACAGACGGCGAAATAGTCCAACGATCGTTGTTGCTGTATTCACTAGTATGTTTTCAATTAGTAGAGCAACGGTTATAGGGTCTGATGGTGCAACAGCCTCAGCTACTAACTATCATACCTTGATCATCTTCAGCCAGATCAGTCGTGCGAGCCCAGTATGAATGTATGTATGTACATGATCATCATCGTGAAATTGTTCCGGCCTGGCATGGCTGGGTCCCGAGATCGTTGTGCGTTCCATCTACCTATACATTTATTGTTTTCCCATGTCTGTTATGGCCTGCACACGTGGTTCAAGTGCGCTTCCTGCGGTATCGATGCTGAAAACTATCGCTGGTTGAAACTCGAAGAACAGGCGGTACCGATGCGAAAGAACTCATGTCGTTGACGACCATTACGATATGGAAGATGGCGATGCCAGATTACATCCACGGTATTCATTAATACTTAGTATATATTCATACATATTCACGAACATCTATACAACAAAGTAATTGAACGAACAAGTCATTGTGTAAATGTCAACATCAACAGTAGCCGCTTTCCAGCGACGGGTTGGGGGCGCACGCTCCACAGCGTCAGTGGTGCAGCCTCGCTTAATTCACCTAGCAAGAAGAAAAAGAAAAACAAAGTAACTATAAGAGCGCTTACCACAAGGCGCAAGTGAGGCGGTGCCACCTTTGTATAAAAAAGAAAGCAACCTTAATAATGAATATTAGTAATAATATGAAAAGAAACGTCATATATATTAAAATATTGCATCGCGTGGCATTACTACCTACGAAGTTCACTAGTATTATTGAATGAATACTAGTATATATATATATATATATATATATATATATATATATATATATATATATATATACATAGATATATATATATATATATACATAGATATATATATATATCTAAAACAAATGTGAAAGTAAGCTAAAGCTCAACAAATTGATAAACATAACTATACATTCGATAATAAACGGTAATAATACTAAGCCATTAGCGTGCAAGCACCCATGTGACACACCTTCATTTTGTCTCATACCTGGGGTCGCATTGTATCATGAAGCATATTGGTACGTACGAGAGCGAGAAAGAGCGTGAGCGAAACATGAGTGAGTAACAATAACTTCATTAAATAAATTTCATCCAACCAAAACAAACGAATGGTGATACTGTCTTCTTTTTGTATCCTGGTATACGCTGGCGACCGTTTTATTATGATAGAGAATATTCACCAGGAAAAAGGGTATAGGAAAATACCCGTCATTGTGCTACATACATACTGCTGCGTACTTCGATGCCTTTATTCGCTTACGGTGAAGAACGTTTGTGGTCAGGAGCAATGTCAGTCCTATTGTTGGGATGAAAAATGGTCGAACTGAAAAAGATTGTCAAAAATGAAACCCATATACCTATTATTCAATAGCTTTCAGTCTTGTTAATAGCCTTTCTGCTTAAACCAGCAGTTCTTATTTCATGGCAAATAAACGATGTTTATTGTACTTAATCACCTTGGAATTCGTGGTATAATAACTGTCTGTACACACCAGTGCAGGCCAGGATAAGGCACGATGGAGTACTGCAGCGACTCGTGTACATCTAACGGTTAGCAAAAAGTCGTTGAAATACTCACGGAGCCACTTGAAGCGCCGGTTGTATATTTCATGGGCCAGGAAAGGAGGCTAAACAGGCCAGTCTGTGCAACCAGCACGCATCTGGCCAGCGGAGTAAACCAAGCGTTCTCTTCGGCGCTTCAGCTATTGTTATTATTGGTAATGGTTGCGCTGGCGGTCGCCTAGTGAAACCCTCTACTGCGTACATTATGCTTTGCTGAATAATCATCACTCCGTCGCTGTTTTCGGCTGCGATCTGTCCTTACACAGCCGTAACGGTCTTAATCACTACTTTGCAGGTGCACTCAGCACGTAACCAAAGGCCGCAGTTAAAGAAGGCTTTCGTTGGACTTGAATAAGTTAGGAGTTGGTGTTCTAGTTGACCCCCCACAACGAAGCATAATAGCTTGGATATTGCTGGTAGGTGAAACTGGACGTTAAAACGTTTCATCTGCCGCTATACCTATTGCCGCGACATCATCTGCGGTAGCTTAGTGGTCGTCGGTGACCATTTATAATAGATATAACGCAAATAAGTATTGGAGAGAGTTTATATTAGCAAAGTACACCCCAGAAGGGGAGAAGATGCGTATTGCAAGAGGATAGTGAACCGGCCGAAATATGTTGACGACCTGAACTATCTAGGAATATGAATAACTGTAGCAGATAACTGAAGATGAGAGGGTGGGTCCAGCAGTAGCAGTAGTAGATAATATCTGTGAGGTAAAGTACAGTATAAAAAAGAAGGTTGAAGATTGCATTTAGCAAAAAATGGGTCTTCGTAAACAGTGCACAAAAGCTACTCACAAAATATATAAGTGAATATAATTATAATCACTTGATAACCAACCTGACTGAATAAGTAAATGTTGTTCGAGCACGATAAGTTATGAAGAATTGGTGTTTGTAGAGTGAGCTTATTTTCCATGACTAGATGGGTTGTTGAATTCATAATTCAATTTAGAGAGGTGTTTCAAGAAGCACTGTAGAACATCTTGTAAACTATAAGTCTGCTTTGAACCAAGATAATAACGTTTTATAACGTTACATAAGGATAAGATGAATACAATATATATATCTACATATTTAGCCGTTTACAACAATGGTTCATCAGAATTATGATATAAATAACGAAACACATATATTAAGCTGTTAGATTTCTAAAATAAAAATTCTATGCCGGCGACAGAGTTCTATGGACCTGCCGCGGTATTAGGGCGTCTTACATATTTATCGTTACATTGAAAAACCGTTGAAGATACCTTGGTGCCGTTGTCTTATCACTTCTGACAATATAGTTTATTAATCCAATTAAGTTTTGGTTTACAGAAATATCTATGATGGTCAAACATGCTTCGAGTTTTAAATAAGACCACCATTGGCTTCGATTCGAACAGGTATAACAAAATTAAATAAAGTATTATCTGCATAAATTGGAGAAGATGCCGCTGGAACTCGTGGGTTTCTTTGGAGTTGTAGCGAAGGCCTTGTGATAATAAAAACTGTCTCTCGAAACCTACCCGAGTAGTCGGAAAGTTTGTACCGATAATTGCCATGTTTTGTGTTGTCAATGCAACATTTTTTATAAGCCATGTCGCCCGCAGAGCTCTATGCAAATAATAGGAAACGCATGTTAGTAATGTTTTTTTCTATTTCTTAACACATGTAAGAAGCTCACAGGGTCTTCTGTAGTGTTCGAGCACCAGCCAGAACGAAGGCAATTCAACTATCTTCCAAAACCAAATTACCGGGTATGTTTAGTATACTTCTTACATTTTTATCCCGAATAGATGTCCGAATCTTGACTCGTTCCCTGGAATACTTCAGTTTAGAAAATAGCTGTGTGGGCTCGATCAACGGCCTTGAAAACTGAACTCATTAAAGGACGCCTGAGGCACTTTAATCTCACGGGCCTCTAACGAAAACATACGGCTGCAAGTATGGCTTTTACAAACAAATGATAGATTACATTATTCATTTATAAAGACTATGTATGTGGGTTCAGAATTTTCTATAAATGACTAAATGAAGATTTTTTTCTTTATTTTTTTATTTACCCTACAGCACTAAAGACATTTCCTGCACTTGATAGCTCGCGTATTTCGTTATGATCAACTAAGTTGGCAAAAGAGGACATTTAGTGCAGCTCAATCGTACTACTTTTCATTCACATTTATTATGGAATATCGAACATTTATTTTCTCTCTGGGTGAAACTGACTCTCCGCATTCCATTGCCAGCTGATATGTAGTACTGTCTTCCACTATTGGTTTAATATGCAATAACTTTCTAAAGCGATTTCCTATATTTTTGTGAACTATAGCGTAAGCAGGCAGACGAGTTTCCCATCCAGTGATCGTCCATACGGATTATGCTAGTCTCAGTGAAAGTACAACAGTGTATTCGCTTAGGATATTCACGCATAATCTAGGTTGGACCCTTAACGCTCAACCTACTTTGCAAAATTGAGTGATTTCATTATAAACCTACGCGATTAGTGGCGCCATCTATTGGAAGGGAAACAACTTGACAATCACCAACGGAAACTTGAAAAGAGTCAGCCCTAAGATACTCTAGTTTAAAATACTGATTCGAAACTGAGAAAATTGTAGCTTTCTGCGAAAAAACAGCGTCTTGTTAGTAGTTGTCTAGCTGCAGTGAATATTCATTTTATGCTCTCGATAAGAAATAGATTGAGCCTCTGTGAGATAAGACGAAGATGTTTCGTAAACAGCGTGATTCTTCTCGTGACTATAGCTGATTAGCCGTACTCGTACATATCTTCCTCACAGCTCACGACGTATATATTCGGACCTAAAACTGTATAGGGAATATAGGAAATTGGCAACTTATCACATCAAAGAATAAATCTATGCTTTATGCGAAATAAAAACCTACTTCAGCCATATTTCTCCTAGGGAAGCAGATCACAATATTACGGACAACTGTATATATCTCTCTAGGAAATATTTTCTTAGTGTTCATATTTCGTTAAAAAAATAATAGTGCACTTCATAGCTTCCATAGGGCTTATCAACCGATATATGAGGACCCTGCAGGCCGCTGAGAAGAACTGCAGTATCATAAAGCAGAGAAATGAGCTACTAAACTACGTTTAATTATGAAAGGATCCTTTTTGTCTGCTAGCAAGACAGTCAGATTGTAAGCGTTTATTCTGTCCCTAGAAATAAGAGGTTATTAGTGTCGCTTCGATTCAGGTATAGGGTTGTCGGGTTTAATTTGAGCAGGTCTTATTATAAAATGCCTTACGAAAAACGCCAAACGCTAAGCCATAGAAGATAGTTTATAATATAGCTAAATTACTATTCACCCATATTGGCCATCCTTGAAGCCACTCTAGGGACGTACCTGTATATAAAGTACGCAACCCCCTCTGGAAAAGTTTTCTATGGTGCTTTTGTAGTTTGAAGAGGGTCCTCTGGTGTAATATGACCATCGCATTTTAATGGTCCTACATGATCGCAATATGAATTGTCGCAATGTATTTTATAAGCTATAAAATATACTTGGGGATATAGAAAAAGTAGGCGACATTTAAGCGAACAAATTTACAAATAAGCAACGGATATATTTACTTTTTCTTCATTTATCCGATAAATTTACTAAATACGTAAAAAATTCCTAGAATTATGTACTATATAATAGTTCGGGTTCGATAGGTATTCTGGGCTTTTCATCATAATATTCGCGGTCTAAAATGATATTGTAGCGGTTGCCGGAGGCATTGGGAGCGGAAGCACACGATAAGTTTGCCTTGATTCGTAGGGCTATAATAAGAATTCCCTGTTCTCACAATTCGCAACATTGAAGTTGGGGCACTTCGGTAAAATTCGTTAGAAACAACTCTATAACCTATAGATTTCATAGTTCGCTACCTTTTGAATTGGGAATCGCCCATGATGGTCGAATGTGATTAGGAGAAGGCGGCGCAGTTGTACATTGGATTTGTCGTTTTGCGATCACAGAGCGTCCGCTGAGTAATGTCAAGGTGCATGAATGAATCTACCCTAATGATAGTATCTTTTAGGGGTCGGGCTAAAATGACTGAATATAACGTTGATATCTGAGGATACATTCGCATATTTACATATTCATACATTATAATTATTTCGCAATATGCCTTACCTTCTGTACTGACCATGGGTAAAAGCTAGAATTCAAGTCAGTATGGTTTAGATCATATAGCTACTCGTATGGTTGGAGAGAAAATAGGGCATTAGAAAGGGTTTGAACAACAAGTTTGTCTTTCCGTTTGTGCACCGCTTTCGATTTATTTTGACGTTTCGTGCGCTTGCAGGCTCCATGTATACTCTCAAAATATCATCAAAAATATGCATATACTTGCCATAGAACATACATCTGAGCATACGTCATTCCCTTGTTGTGCCGGTTAAATTTACCGTGTTTGCAACCTCTTTTTCGCATACAAACCCATCACTGATATTTTATAACAGATGAATAATCATACGGACCACCTTGAGTATTGTCCAATGCCTTCACGAACTGGGGACACAAAAAAAGTCGTTGCATTATTATAACCAATATTTTCAACACACATTTAGATTTCCATTTCATCTATACGAGCTAAATAGGTTAAAGGTATCCGAACATCTATTAACATCTATTAAAGTTATAGAAAATCAGCGATTGATTGCTTCTTCGCAGAAATTTTTGGTCCACTGAGCTACAATTACTACGAAGATCTATAGTGGTAACATCGACTCAAAGGTATTTTACTATATATATGTGCTAATGCAGCTCCGCAGAGGTTTTTTTTTATTAAGTTTAGCTACAGAAAAGGTTGGATACTTGTCCAACCATCGAGAAGGATCTGTACATTTGGTTTTTGGTCAGAACTAAATTATAAAAGTTCCTTTATAGGAGCACAATGTAGTCTGATATGAGGTGAGATGAAAGCATTCGTTCAGGGGGCAACTACCAAATATTTGAATAGTCTATGCTAGGGTCTGTGTCATTGAGCTGTGTCGTTAAGGATTATTGAGATAATTGTCAATGGTATCTCGTATTATTATGTGACAAATTTTTGCGTATGATTAAATGTCTGTTATTTGCCTGTCAGATGTCGCAGTTAGCATAACGGAACAGAGTTCAAAGCGGTTTTCAAACAATGTTTGAAACATCATACTTTGAAATCACTGCAACACTTAAAAACACATTGGATAAATCTTTAGAGTATGCGTCCATGAAATAACTTCCAAATTTTTTCGAATAGTATTCAAAGACATGAAAATACCAGAGAGTAAAATTACTTAAAAGTTTTATTACGTAATTATTTTTTAATGTTCTAACAGAGAAAGTATGACTCAAAGATTATAACTCTTTAAAATGTTGCCATACTTCATGAAGTGTTCGGTTTGCTTGTGAAATACGTCATGAATGATATTAAGAAAGCCTTATCTTGCGCGACGTCTTGTACATGCTGTTTAGCAGTACAGAAAAGAACAACAACTTCACAAAAAGATAATTGTAGTTTATTTGGGTAATTTGTAGAAAGCACATTCCGTATCACCGTATCCAAGATAGCCACTTTCGAGGCACACGTAATTACCCATCCGAACAATTCCAGCTGTCTTGAATTTAGTGCCGGTATCCTCCTCGCAGTGTTTCGTCGATTCCATGACGACATATTTAGCGGGTCCTTTGAGATCTGTACAGATACGAATGCAACATAATGTTAAATATAATTCGAAATATGGTACACGAAGGCAGACTTAATGGACGATAGGAGCACTGGCGGGTTTTTGTTAATCAATTCGAAATATTCTGTGAGTAGTGGCTAAAACTATATCTGGTTGTAGTCGATGTTGATTCTAATATGTAACGAAGGAAAAATGATGCTGATTAATTTGAACTAATGTTAGTTCTAAGCTGTGTGCAATCATACACGAATTATGGGTGAACGACATGTTTGATAATGTAGGAGAGGCTATTAGCGTGACTCTGACTTGTCGCGCAGTTGTAGTACGCTTTGTTTCTAACTAAAATACAATACACTGGGCTTTTGCATAATAAATGTGTAACTGTGTAATTGACAATCTAGTAATGAAAGCTATTTGCTTTTTTTCGGTGCACGACATTCTGCCTCATTAAGTACAACTACCAAATGACCCGGGGTGCAGAAAAAAGAAACGGCACGCTAGACATTTGCTTTGGGTTTCATAGTAATCAAATGAGACAATATTCTCTTCTGGAATCGGATAGTGGAATGGCTCGACTAAATCGGTCAGAGGCTAGGCCTGTGTTCAACAACTTCAAACCATAACCGACCACGCTCTATTTCATATGCAATTATTCCATAAAACCAATTCGTCGATCTCAAAGTTAAACCTTTAATGTACACCGATGCAGACAAATTATATCAAAGTGTCTATAAATATGAACGGTAACTGATAAAACTATGTTGTTATTCACGGACGCTGACGACTTGAATCTGGTATCGCTATTTGGTGTCTGGCGAGTCGCAATTGAATTGTTGAAATTTATTATTGTTATTGCAAGTCTTGAATTTTCGTATATCTCAAAGCTGTCTGGCAGGTATTTATTAACCGGTCATTTTATTTGGGCCTGCTAGTTACAGTTCTCGTGGTCTATTCGTGCGTGCCATTGTTGATATTGTTTTAAAACATCTTTCGTATGCTGAGTATGTCTGTTTGGTGAATCTCCAAGTCCAACTACAGGTGGACCACACCTAAAACTAGACACGTTTGCAAGGTATGCGATTTCCCTTTAAAAGTGACTTGAAAGAACTTTTATCGAGATCTGCAGATCGCAGTACGTGGCATTGATGGAATATCGGTTTAGGGCTAACAACGAATTGTTGTGCAACAGCAAACTAACGTGTTGATCGTGATAGTTGTGTGAATCGTAGGTAACCGAGTACATCGAGAGCATTATGGACGCGGATGGAGGCGATCAAGTCGCCGATGAATTGAAGAGTTTGGATTTAAAGGATACAGCGAGCGTTGAAGAGGAAGTTGTCGAAGACGAAGAAAGTCAAAATTTGCGGAGCGAGAGAGTTCCTTCAGTGTCGATGAGGACCATGCACTTTACCAATGGCGATTGGTATCCCGAGGAAAAGCCGAAAATTGCACCACCTTCAGATCCTGGTAAGCGTTTTTATGGTAGAAAGGCTCGCTATGTTAGCCACAAGCCCACTGAAGCTAAACTTGTGGAAAAGTTCGAAGTTTAAGAATCTGTACTGTGATTTTGTCAGAATTCCATTGTGACATTGTTTGCCACTTTAGTAGTTGAGAGAGCGGTCCCATCCGAAGGATCTGGAGAAAATGTTTCCGAAGCTCGAAAAACTCTGGACGAAGCTGAGCTAAGTTCTGAGGAAGACGATACTGATGCAATGGAGCGATACGCCAATGAAAAGACTGGGGAGGTACCCGAGTCGTTCTTCGAGATTCTCTGCAGGGAATGCACTAAAATCCCGTACACCCCAGAGGAACAACAGGTAGGTTCGCTTTGCCACCTGGTCACTCGTCTTTCCGTCGTGTGATTTACCAAATAATTTTGAGGTTACACCATAATTGGCGAATGTTCGCGATATAGTTTGCTTACTTCTCCACGTGCTTTCAGGAGCGCCGGAATTCAGGTCACCTCGAGCGTAACAAGATGCTTCTTGAAGGCATTAAAACAAATCATCGCGAATGGATGTATCAAATTGAAGAAAGGATAGCTCTCGAAATGATGAACGAACGTCGAAAAGCTCGCAAAAAAGCCCTCAAAGAACAACGAAAGCTTGCAGAGGCGGTGGCCGGGTCTGGGCTTGATGCCCAGGCTACCGCGTAGAGTTGATAGCGTCGCGCCAGATGTCACAGAAGATAATGTACGGAAGTGACGTCGATAATATAGATATTTTCTGAAAAATATGCTTTTCTAAAAAGGGTCAATAATAATAATAAAAGCTTGTATTAGACGTTGAGAAATACTTTGGGGTATTTTCAATACGGCTTTTGAGAAGCAAGTCCCCGCAAATAATCTGTAATAAGCAGAAATCTCGGTTCGCACAGTTGCATCCATATCTCTAGACAGCACATGGGAAATAAAGTGTAAGCCTTCATTACTCTAATTCGAGTAAATATTAAAGAAAAAGCCTTCATTACTCTATTTCGAGTAAACACGAGTCGTTACTCTAATTCGAGTAAATATTAAAAAAAAAGCCTTCATTACTCCATTGTGTTTGAGCATTTTTTTTTGCTGGAAAACCTACTAAGGATAACTAAGGATCGTTCAAGAGTTACACCGCGGACAACGCTGTTTAAGGCAACATTACTAAACATGTGCACCGCGGGCAAAACTGTGGAACACGACTGCAATCTGAGAATGTGATTAATCCATTAGTAATCTATCAATCGAAGACAGAAATCAATGTGTTTAGCTACCCAAAGTTATCGATAATCTAGTTCCAGTCGTCGCTACATTCATCGTGCGACCATGCGAGATGCTAAATTTGTAAGGTGAATTTGCCTTAGAGTTGTTTAAATTATATCCGGTCACAGCAGTCTCTAATAGAGGCTGAATTACTTGTTTGATAAATCATCTTTAAGGTAAGAAATTTCTGTCTGTTTTGGAAAGTAACTTTGCTAACGAACTCAAAGTTGGAGATTGACAAAACACCTTTGACGATTACAGAGAAGTCAACATTTTGTAATCATGCATTATGCAATTTCATAAACCTAGCTTGCTTTAAGTGATATTGTAATATTATCAAGGACATGAACATTCCGATACTAAAGGTTTGCGTATTGTTTCAAGACCAGACAAATTTGGGTTCTGTCGAGGTCCAAAGCTTGTATTCGGAAGCTTATCACGTCAGCAACCTAAGCATTTTTACTTCAGCCGCAAGGAACGTTTACCTGAAGAAGTTGATGTTTGCAGTGTAACACGCGTGTGCTGAATTGAACACGCATCTAATGAATTGTAGGAAAAACTGCGCCTTTTCTTCAAAGTTAATTTTCTTCAAAATTAATTTCGAACAATTGAAAGTCTACTTTCGCGGATAGAACCGCAAGATATCTGTATCAAAACTTCGAAATTTTAAATGGTCATTAGAGATGATGCCAGTAGAGGAATCATCCAGAAGATTTGTAGTGAGCAGCAATTTACATAAGTCAACTATCTATAGTTAAAAGCAAAATTCTAAGAAAACACCAGATTGTTTACCTAAAATTCTCTGGGAACCAAAATCTATTTCTTTCGCGATATGTGAGCAATGTAAGTCAGCGCAAGTGCAATTAGGACATATTTTTGCAGTCAAAAACAGATCTTCGTCCGAGAGCCTTCAGAAGCCGAGATGGTTCGAGGTTTTACTTGTTTTTATGTTATTGTAATAGCCCCACTTATAGTATACCTAAGTACATCTTTCTTAAGTTAATAAAGTTGGGTTGTTATTGGTCCCTCGCTATGTTTAGGTACAGTCTATTTGAAACTTCAATGCAGCTAGTCTCTTATTGAGACGAATTAAAAGTTGCTTGCGCAAGCCCAGCCTACGATATCTATTTGTGTAACTTACCTAGGGAGCGCCTCGGCGGAGCTCACAAAAATATAATCTAACGTTACGAGGTTCGCGGTTTGACTTTACCTTTTATACTCTGATTAAAGTGAAAAAGCTATTATAATTGGCAAAATTGGGTACAGTACATTATTTTTTTTGCAATACATTATTACAAGGATATTTTTATAGCCCTTACACATGACCTACGGTTCATTGCTTAATCATGCATATATTAAAATAAGCAAATCCTAGCCTTGTCCCTTGAGTTCATGTCGAGATCAAGGAAATTTTTCAATAATTGCCATCAATAGCTTTCTTCTTGTGCATTCTAATATTACATCTATTACATAATATTACGAAAGCAGCCGCATTAGAAAGAGCGTGAAATATCTATTATTTACATCAGAAAAGTGTAACTTTTTTTGGAAGCCAGCCATGTCGGGGGTTCAATATAGATCAGGTGAAATTTTTATTTTCTGACTTTAGTATCAAAGGCGTTTTTCTTACATAAAGGAAATCTTCTAGCTATCTATTTCTAATTACACAATAGCTAGTCATATTCTATGTATTTAAGCTGCTGGCTTTATTTAATTAAAATGTAAAGTAAAGAATTTTAGTTAATGCCTAGTAAGCGAATACCGCGTGATACTGGGATCAAACACATGTTCCCTGTGCTGGGACGCTCGAAAACCGTACCTATGAAACCATATAATACGACCAACAACAACTACTTTCTAGTAAAACCATGATTTAATCAACAGTAGGTAAACAAACTGAAAATGGTTCTTTTAGCGAAAAGGTCGAAGCACACTTGATGAAGTTACCCAAGAAAATCGGCTAGTTGCGTTTACTTGCAAGTTTCGTAATAGCCTGGCTACTTCGAAAATATCTAAAACAAATTGCCTCCATCCATATTGCATTCTATAGGCAGTGTCAACATAAATGCAGCATTTTTATTCGGCGTATTAGTTCGGTGCGAGTTTTAGGTATTATACCATTCACTATACTCTGTAATGCTTCCTGTTCATCGAATGTTATGGCGATCGACATTTCGCAAGAGCTGCATCAGGCTGCCCCTTTTAAATCCCGCCGAAATTGTACCACGACCAGGATCCCGCTAAGATTCGAACGAGTTAACCAAGACGCGTTAATCTATTGATCAGTCAATCGCCCGAGCTTATTGAATGTGTAGATTACTATTAGTTCTAAGTTAAAACTTACATATATGCGTCATAGAGTCCTGTATCTACAATTGCTAATAATTGCTGTATTGGTAGAACACCTATTGGACTTGACCTGACGCTCGCGTATCATATGATTGCCGAGAACATTAATATAATATTATATGGGATCACATAAAAGCTATGTTATTATATTAATATGTAAAACGTTTAAATGTTTCATACATCAATTCATGTATTTCAGTTCAGCAGCGTTTCAATATTAGTTTGAGTGTCTTCTTTGTAGCATGTGCGACAATCTAACTACACGATGTATATCAAGACACACAGTCACTCATGACATAAACAATTTTAGCTTATTATTAAAATTATCATCTTACTGGTATATAACTAGTATTTATTTACCAACTTATTGAAATCGGTTGATGAAGTGATGAAGGCCTACAATAAATCTGCATGTATCGATTAAACATCAGCTTGAAACCCATTCGCTTATGGCTTTGTTTTGCTGTGAGTACCTCTCTAGCCGCTCCATTGTTACCAGAACGGCTGCGTGGGGTGAGCGGAAAAAAAGCCACTGTTGCTGCCTAGCCAGCCGCTTCGGGCTGCTAGCTCTGATTTTGGCATTTTTACAAGGCACTTTTTCTCATTTTTAGCTGGAGCGAATTATAGAACGTCCCTCTGTACCGCTCTTAATAGACTGGCTTGAATTGATTCATCGAGGGGCATTCTATCTAGCTTGTAATTAAGCAGATAATGTGATCTCAAGCCGTGCAAGACGGCATTGTTGAATTCGAATAAAGAGAGTCAACGACCGGACGAAATCATACTTACCTGGTGCCGGGCCCTCCGTGATCAGGAAGGCGGAGACCCCAGGAGGAGGCCTTTCCATTGCACTTCGGAAGGGCTGAGACCTGCCACTCTCCCAAACTGGGAAAGATGGGGCATGTAATTTTTGGTAGCGGGAAGTCTGCGTTCGCGCAACTTCCCTCCTAATAAACGATCAAAAAGTATTTTGCCTACGAGAGCGTGGGTGAGTGAACACATTGTACGAGCGTGGAAATTACACTTGAACCTGGTAATTTGGAACAACGGGCTCTTCTCCTATTTTGTTTTAAAAACAGTTATAATGAAAGGCGAGGTGCCCGTGTGACCGTTGTGAAACTGTTGCTAGAAGTTTAAAAGAAGAACAAAACGTTGAATGGTTGTTTCTTTTGTTATTCTGGAAGGGTGTAAGCAATGAAAAGACAAACGTGTGTGTAGACAGTTGCAGGGATTGTTGTTCGCTTGTCTAATGATTGCGATACTGTAAACAAACGTTTCGAAGGGGTTATGTCATCGTAAAAAGAATAGAAACAGCACAGATGATTTTACGTGCGTTGACACGGTTCAAGCTATTTAGTTTAGTACCGTAAGTAAGATACGAGGTAATCTGGGCTTCACAGTGCTTGGCGTAGTCTACGGGCTCTTCTGCTTGACGCTATCGTTCTATGCCTGCTGACAGATAATACGTACAGGCGAATTGACAGGCAAACAATGTGGGCAGTAAGACTATAGTTAAGCAGCATTTAGTAAGTTCAGTTACTGACAAGAGAGGTTTGATCACACAGTTTGCCATGTGCTCACGATTGTTGAGTCGCTTTCCTGGGCATAAATTTATCTGAAGGTGTTTTTCATTTGTCTAGCTCAGCTGTCAGAGACACTTGAATGGATCATCGTTGTCGTGATGCGATCGTCACTGCAACGAAAGTCGACAGGGTTCTTTATTGTGGGAATTCGAACGGAACCTAATCTTGGTACACCATACATTTAAAGTTGGATCAATGCGGAATGTTTATAACATAGTCTCATACTTATAGTAGTTACGAGAAACAACAAGCTGACACAAATTATCAAACATTCAGCCGATGCTAACTTTGTTTATAGTAGAGGAAATAACAGATATTACAAATCGGCTCTGTTTCGATTTATTTGTTAGAGTGTTGTTGACTTGCTAAGTATTTATTTGAGTGTCAGTGTCCATAATTGTTTGTTAGAAGGCGAATCATTAATTCTATTTAAGAGAATTCGATAATAGTTGCTATAATAAATTTGTTGTGTTTACTTTTCTACCCAGGTTATCCTACTTCTCGTTTTTTTTTTTTTTTTACCTTATATATATATATATTGCTCTTGTGTTATTTTTTTAGTGTATGTAGTGCGTCAAACTGTGTGCTATACGAGGCCGACAAACGCTTCTAAGTAGTATCGTCG